AGATCTTCCATCAACAGCAATTGATGAAAATGAAGATAATATTACAGAAGAAACGAAAATTGAAATCATTGGTAAATTAGTTTTTTATTTTACATATTACTAATATCAGTTCATCGTATTATAAAGTCACTACATATATCAACGCAACAGTAGTCAATATCGCATATTAAAAATTTGCGATACATTACACTCTGTTGAAAAATAGAGATGCATTAATATTTTATTTTAAGCATCAGTTTCTAATAAAGTGCTAACCTTATAGGCAATAAGACAGTCTACTTTATTGGCCAATTTTATAGTGTGAAATTAAAGAATTCACCCTAAATTCAGTCTAGTTTATTTTATAATATCAGAGTTTATAGAGTCTGATAAAAACAGCTGCTTTTGTTAATTTTTTTTTTCAAACACAGATTAGATTTCATGTCATACTTTATAACTATAGAGTTAATATTCTTTAAAAACTCTCTTATTTTGATCTTGTAGGTTCTATAACTCCATCGGGTGGTCATCTTACTTCAGTTAGCTTTGAAACATTAAGTGAAAAAGGTGTTTCGGATTTAACTTTAAAAGCAATTAGCGAAATGAAATTAACAACAATGACTGAAATTCAAGCAAAATCTATTGGACCATTACTCGAAGGACAGTAAGTAAATAACGTTCGGCATATAATAAATTGATCAAAGTATTTACCTCAGCTTAGAGCACTTGTCAACATACTAAATATTTTACTCTAGGCTCAATCAATAAAGAACATTTCATTCTAAAAGACGATAGATATTTTTATGTCCTTACACTCTTTATAACTAATTAAAAAACTGTCTACCACAATCATCTATCCATTACATATTTTGATGAAAAAACTTAGTCTCAAACATGATCAAATTTCAGCACTCATAGTGGAAAATAAAAAGAGTTGAACAATAAATCCTATACAGTCTGAAACTGTGACTTTTACTCTATCAATTGATAAAAAAAAATGTTCGCACTGAAAAAAATAAGTATTCTTCTCACTCTAAACGTTTTCCGAAAAGATGTCTTCTCTAAACTAGGCCACTATCTTTTTCGATTAACCCAATATCTAGGAAACTTCCCGAAGATATTCTTCTATATCTGGGACATACATTCAGTTAGCGCAAAGATGTACAAACGTTTTTGGACTAAGATACTGGTTTACTAAAGAGTATAGCTTTTAAAGGTATATTCGCTATTAAACTATCACAGAAGGACTTTGAGAGAAAAATAAAGACATTTAAAGTGACCGTGAAAACTGCATCTAGTGATGCACCAACTGTGAATTGTATGATTGTTGTTTTTTTGTAATAATTCTAGTGATTTACTCGCTTCGGCTAAAACGGGTTCCGGTAAAACATTAGCTTTTCTTATTCCCGTTGTTGAATTGATGTATAAATTACGTTTCATGCCTCGTAATGGTACTGGAGCAATAATAATCTCACCAACACGTGAATTAGCAATGCAAACATATTCTGTATTAAAAGAACTATTAACTTATCATCATCATACATATGGTTTGATTATGGGTGGAACAGGACGACAAGATGAAGTCAAAAAACTTGCTAAAGGTGTGAATATATTAGTGGCAACACCAGGTCGTTTACTAGATCATCTTCAAGTAAAATTTCAATAAAAAAAATAATTTTCCTTTCTTATCCTCTTTTTCTGTTTTCATAGAATACTAAAGATTTTATGTATAAAAACTTACAATGTTTAATTATTGATGAAGCTGATAGAATTTTAGACATTGGTTTTGAAGAAGAACTGAAACAAATTGTTCAATTATTACCAAGTAAAAAACAAAAAAAAAGACAGAATTTCTTGACTATATATTTAATTAACTTTATGTTTTTGTAGAACGTCGTCAAACAATGTTATTTTCTGCAACTCAAACACGACGTACGGAAGATTTAGCAAAAATGTCTCTTAAAAAAGAACCATTATATGTTGGAGTTGATGATACAAGTGATCAAGCAACTGTTGAAGGACTTGAACAAGTATTTTATTCTTTTAGATAAGTAAAAATAACTAAATAAATAATTTTTTTGTGATAGGGTTATGTTGTTGTTCCACAAGACAAACGTTTTCTTTTATTATTTACATTTTTAAAAAAAAATCAAAAGAAAAAAATGATGGTCTTTTTTTCATCATGTATGGCCGTTAAATATTACAATGAATTACTTAACTATATTGATATACCTGTATTAAGTATACATGTAATTTATTTTCTTTTTTTCTTTCGTTATATTTATTTGAAAATTTTATTCTTTTATTTAAAGGGAAAACAAAAACAAGCTAAACGAACACATACATTTTTTGAATTTTGTAATGCTGAAACTGGAATTTTATTATGTACGGATGTAGCAGCACGAGGTTTGGATATTCCAGCGGTTGATTGGATTGTTCAATTTGATCCTCCAGATGATCCAAAAGTAAAATTTTTACTTGAATTTAATTATTTAGTTCATAACAAAAGTATTAATAGAAGTATTGTAACTCCTTATGAAAAAAAAACTTGAAGAAGCTTTCTGTATATGGACTGACAGTAAAAACGATGCTGGACATTTCTCTGATATATGATCATTCTTCAACTGACAAAATTTCGATAAGAATCATTTGTTATGAGATGTAACGATAATATTAGATCATATTCTGTTTTCGATGTGTATCTTCTACTCGGATGAATGCTTTTGGCGTCCAGATTCATGTATTTTCGACTAGAAAACTGAAGACAATGGTCGAAGCTTGGAAATAGGAATTTAGTAGCTGGATTTTTCTAGCTCTGTTCGTAACGAACTGGAATCTAGCAGAGCTCGGCACTGGATTTCTGCTTTTCAGCTCCTACCATTTTTCCGAGTTTTATGCCTGGAGACAGATCATATTTCGTGGTCTGAGTTTTTTATGTAATATCTAGCCGTCTATGCATATTAGGGCATAGAAAAAGTGGTGTCAGTAGAATAAAAAAAAGATACAGAAACAAATTCATCAACTGTGTTTTCTTATTAAATGTTCGAAATAATAGTTTTGTTTATTCAAACTCAACAGCATTTATTGAATTTATTTCTTGAGCATTTTTATTACATTCTTTATTCAAAAAATTCCTGAACTTGCTTACAGCACTCAAAACGATTTAAGTCGAATAACCAAAAATTACATGCTACTGAATCCGGAGATTTATTTAAGTAGAAACTTAAGCATTAAAGAAGACCAGTAAAAAGCGAACATCAAGAGGAGATATGATCTAATATTACTGTTGCATATTATAACAATATTTTATTAGTTGAAGAATAATCAAACATTAGAGTAAATGTATAACATTATTTTTTTTTTGCCATCAGACGATACAGAATGAAAGCTTTCTTAATGTTTTAATGAGGAATTATAATACATCCTTTACCACTTATTTCCTAGAGTGTTTTTCTATTGAAAAATTTCTTTTTAGGAATATATTCATCGTGTTGGTCGAACAGCACGTGCTGGTGCACATGGTCATGCATTACTTATTTTAACACCACAAGAACTTGGTTTTCTTCTTTATCTTAAACAAGCGCGAGTAACATTAAGTGAATTTGAATTTTCATGGAATAAAATTGCTGATATTCAACCTCAAGTATATTTTGTTTTTATTATTATGATGAAATTTATTACTTTTGTTTTTTTGTTTAGTTGGAAAAATTAATTGAAAAAAATTATTTTCTTCATTTGAGTGCAAAAGAAGCATATAAAGCATATGTTAGAGCTTATGCAAGTCATAGTATGAAAAATGTTTACAATGTTGAACAATTGGATTTGGTTAAAGTTGCTTATAGTTTCGGTTTTCGTGTTCCACCTGTTGTTGATATTGGTAAATTATCTTAATTAATTTCTAGTTCTTTTATATTGTCTATTTAAAAAATTGTGTTATTATTTTTAGGAGTTTATCAAAGCAAAAATGGATCGAAATCGAAATCAAAAAATGGATTTATGCGACCAAAACAAGAACGAAAAATTAAGATCTTTAAAAATTTAAGCAATGAAAAAGCAAAAAAGAAATTTACACGATAAATTTTGTTTTGTTTGCGACTTTTCCTACTGTTCTTTTTTTCATGTTATTCAGTAAATTTGTCGCGCTTTATATGTTATCAGTTTCAATAGATAAACTATTGCTGTTGAACTCGAAAATCTCAATTGAAATTATTTTCAATTTTAGCAATGATCAGACTGCATACTTTTTTCTACAAGTATTTTACGATGTCTAATAACAATCTAGATTGATGAGTTTTACATAAAAGAAAGTGAAAGTAAATATAAATCAGTCTAAGTTCGGAACTAGTTGATTGATCATGAAAGAAAGCCATCGATTTCACCATTCTTCGATCTGGACCCGAACTGTGCTTCTAATTTCAACGAAATTCTTTACTCTGAATCTCATAGCCGCACCAAAAACGCGAGAAACTTTTGATCTATTATTTCTATTTTGCTAATTACATACTTGTCAGAGAATCTTGTCGATAATCTTATTATAATCAAGTCGTAATTAGCTGTTATTGTTATTGTATGAATCAATAGGCTCTACTGATCGCCCAGTTAGACTGGTTGCATATTTTGTGTTTTTGTACCAATCTCTACAATTTTTAATTCTACCAATAGTAATTACCATGTATGTTACAGGGCAAAGTTTTAATTGAAACATTGGTACTGACTCGGACTCAACTAGTGGATAGCTAGTACAAATTAAAGTCCATCTATTGAAAATGAAGGAAAAATCTTGCATTTTGTTCTTATGACATAAATGCAGAACTGAAGACGAATTTGTAGATAGATAGCTTTTTTTGATATACTAATCGCCTTTTTGTCTGTAGGGAATTACTTTTTAATTTTAAAAACTTAGTTTGCGTCTAACTGAAGTAATAATTCTGATACACAAAGATTTTGTTTTAATATTATAATTATATTTTAATATTTCTGATAATTCAAACTGCGAAATTAGTTTTGAAGTAAAGATATATTCATGAATTTGTTTGTGACTTTTGTTTGTTCTTTTGACGTAATTGAATAACACGTCGAAGTTCATTTTCTGTCGACATACGATCTTGATGTCCTCTAGGTAGAAGTTTTCGATAAATTTTGTACGATCGTTCTAAACTTCGTTGTGCATCAACTAACGCTCCTGCATTTAACTGCATTGTGCCTAACTTGTAAAGCAATTCAGCTAATACAGGTGAATCATTGGATACGGTACGTTCGAAAAGGGAAAGTGCTTTTGTACGCAGATCAAGAGCATGAGTACTGTCGCCAAAATCTTGATAAATGTTACCTAGCAAAACTAGAGTAGCAGCTATAGTTGTTTCATTGACAGGTACAAGAGCTTCTTGCAAAGCTAATGCTCGTTCAGCATTAGCAATTGCTTCAGAATATTCATGAAGAGCCCAACGAGCATTAGCTATTTCAATAAGATTAGAAGCGATTGCAATTGATTTAGTTGTTGGATTAGCTTGACGCAATTCAAGTGCACGTGTATGATGATCTAAAGCCAAATTGAATTCACTACGACTTTGATAAACATTTCCAAGATAGGTGAGAGTGTCAGAAATATCTTTACCAGACTCAAAAGAAAAAAAAAACAAAGCTTTATTTTTAATTGATTGAAATTAATTAAATTACCACTTCTTGAAGTTTAAGTGCCTGTTGATGACATTGCAAAGCATAATCATAATCACCCTTTCTATTGGCAGACAATTGACCCATTGCATTGAGTACACGAACTGTAACAGGTTGAATGCGTTGATAAACTATTAAAGCCATATCAATGTCTCCTTGTTCAGCATATTTCTGTGCTTTTATTTCTTCAGCAGTTATCATTGAATCTCTAACAAGAGAAAGAAATAGAATTGAACAATTATTCAGGTTACTCAATAGAAATCTTTTTTTTTTGTACATTGAATCTTTGATTTGAACTAACGCTGATTTGGGTTTTGGAGGTGGTGTTGGTGTTCGAGGTGGAGGAGTAGGTTGTTTTGGAGGAGGCGGTGTTGGTGGTTTAGGAGGTTTCAAAAGTTCATCAATTAAAGATATTATTGTTTCCTTCGGATGCTTCTCTAAATATTCTAAAGCAATTTTCTTACCAGCTTCACCTTCTGTTTTCAATTTTACAATTGACATTTGACCACGATTAACATAGACAATACGAAATGCCATACAAACATCAAATACAATCAATGGCGTTGTTTGTTTATTTGATATTTCAGTAAATAAAGATGATGCATCACAATCAATTTTAAATAAAACAGATAGAAGATCAGGACGATATGCCGGTAATGAAGCAAGTGTCAATGCATTTGTTCTTGATTTAATACAAGGAAAAAATCCACTTGTACAAATAAGTTGACCAACATGAGCTTCGAATTTGTCAAGAAGTTCGCTGGATAATTTCATACCACGATAGACTTGATCACTGGATTTACGTTTAGGATGTTGTTGAAAGAAGCGTGATGCATCAGCGAATAGAGATCGACAGATATTAAGTTGTGCTTTATTGTGAAAACGAAGTGCATGAAGAAGAAGACGTGCGGGAAATGGAGAACGAAAACACCAATTGATCACATCAGTAGATCGATAGGATTTTTCGAATTCTTCGATAATTTCAATTATTCGACTATTGTCTCGATAATAGCGTCGAGCTAGTCCAATAAAACTTTGTTTATTTGTTGATACTTTTCGAGTTATTAACTAAAAAAAAACAAATTAAGAAACTTTCTAATAATTGAAAAAATATTAGATAAAACAATCTTCAATGAATTTTTTCTAAGATTTAATCGAAATAATTATTTTACTTACATCTTCTTTCCATAATTGTGACCAAAGAAATACTTCATCTTGTTCAAATGCAAATTCTTCAAGTTGAATTTCTTCAAACATTTTAAATACTTCTTTAATTATTCGAAGCAATTCTTCTTGTTGATTAAATATGCCAAAAAGTTTTGGAAAATCACCTCTAATATTTTCACCATTCGGATCAAGTATAAAAATTGCTTCAACAGCACAAAACTTATGTACAGTAGTAATCAATTCATTATTACATGATGAACAAATGAAAAAGATTTTTTGTTGTGAAGATCTAATAGTATCAAAACAAGTCAATGGGTCAGTAAAAGTTTGAACGCTATCATTGATTACTCGAAGTGGTCCAATAAGATTTGTGTTCAAATGTGTATATGGATCGAACCAAATGAAAATAACACTTTCGTGAATTTCATCTGTAACATTAATTCGACTTATGTCATTTCCAGTAGATTCTCCTGTTGACAATAAAATTGCATCAGGAACAAGGGATCGCCGAGTACCTCGATTTTTATTAGTATCTTTTGTCCGTGGAGAGTGCAAAGCAGCCATTAAGATTCGAATTTTATTTATTCAATTACACCATTCAATAATGCACCGGTGGATCTAAAAATCCAGCTTGCATTAGAATATAATTCCTCAAAATATTAGCGTAATCTGAGAGAATTCTAACACCGAAATGAAACGAAAAAATTTTGTTCAGTGGACATGTTGCTTAGTAAAAGGTATAGTTTCAAGTTCAAGGAATTTTACCAGTTCTTTCAAGATAATGCAAATCCAGAAGTAAAATGATCTTGGATGAAATTTACAAAACCTTCTAGTGAATTCGTTTAAGTTTACATAAGCTCAAGAGAAATCAAATCTATCCTATTTTATTTTTATGCTTACACGCACTTTTAATAACTAAGAATGTCTGTGTCTTTTTAGCGTATGGATGTATGTGCTCTATTCACTCTCACTTACCTATACTATCTACACTCGTGCCCAAGACCCTAAAAGAACTACAAGGAGTAAAAGATGAAAAATGCGATAGTCACAGCAACTCGACAAGCATAAAAGTAAGATGTGATAAATTTAATTCCTCGTGAATTACTCTAAAAGATTTAATAAAATTCATCTCAATTGGTTGTTCATCCGTTGGTTTATTTTACATGAAACATAATAAAAAATTTGCTCAAATGATTGATTTGCAACAGAAAAACAAATTTAAACTATCTTAAAGTACACAAAAACTAAAAAAAAACAGCCTCCATTCTTATTCAATGAGTTCTATTTAAAAAAAGATTTATATTTTCATTATGTAAACATATGATGGGAAATCATCAAAAAAAAAAACTTTCTCTCGAAAAAAGAAAAACTAAAAATAATAATTTGAATGAATCATTCTACTCGCCATTTTTTTGAATAAAATACCCCATGAAACAAAAGTTAGGGGGAAAAATCAAATGGAAGTTAATTAGTACCTGATGAAAAAAATTAACTATCATTTATGGAGTTAAGTAAACCAGTTGAAGATGTTTTCATTTATTATGAAGAAAAACCAATTCAAATCGATGTTTGTAGCACAATTTTTAGTTGATTCTAATCAAAATTAATCAGAATAATCAATGAAAATTTTATTTTTTTGGTTACTTTTGCTTATAATTATTTTTTAATCTATTGTAATCTGATTATTACTCTGACTATTTTTTTACATGGGTATGCATTTAACGTTTTTATTTCCTTGGAAAAGTTCTGCACTTTTTACATAAGAAAAAAGAAAGGCAATTTCATGGCATAGAATAATCCATATCATTTGAAGTCTTGTTAAAACTATACAGGAAGTTTCCAAAGTTCAATTGAAGAAGAAATATAAATATCTCTTTAACGTTTCAAGCGATGTACGCCATATTTCTATCCTTTCATTCTACGTATATTCATTCAAGTTGTATTTCATATAAATTTTTTCTGTAACAGATATCGAAAATGAACAATTACAGATGCATTGAATTAATCTATTCTTTCTAAAGCATCTATGAAAACATTCTATTATATAAAGTCAACATGAAATTACAGTGATGTGGGCAAAGAAAAACAATTAGTGGAAGGAGGGAGATGTGCAGGGGAATTTTTCTATAAAGTGAAGTGGTGCGCACATACAATGTTTTAACTAGAAAGAAATGAAAAATTGCTAAAAGTGAGAAGGAGTGCGCACTTCACGGTTAGCATGATTCCGTGAAACTATTGCGCAATCTTTGAAAGTCAACACTTATTGTCTAATATTAGGAAATAAACTGTTCGGATATGTTTTTCTTGGCAGTTACATTATTTAAGGAGAAAAACATTCTATTATCCTTAACCCATTGAGTACGGGCGAGTTAAATTTCGCGTCCTGGTATTTTCAAACCGGGAGAACTTGAAAAAACACGATCGTTTGATTATTTAATGATATGAATTGTATGATTATTTGCGTTTAGGATATTTGTACGGTCAAGATTATCCATACTTAGTGATGATTATTGGTTATCTCTTAATATTTCTTGCAATCAGCATCTGGTTTGATAAGTTAGAATATAAGCCAATCTGACAACATTTCTTGAGAGAGAACCATCGCTCTCGCAAGTATGTTTCGTGTTACGAAAATTGTTCAAGAGCACCGTCTATAGGAAAGATCCTGATCAGTTGATCGTATTGGATAAATCATACAAAGTGCATTTTTTGACATAAAAAGTCACGAAGGACCAATGTCGCCCACCTTCGGAAAGTTCACTCTGACTTGCAGCATGATATTTCCCTTCGCGCAATGCATCAACAGCAATTCAAGTAAACCCAAGAAGAAAATGTTACGTTTGTGCTAATGCTGTGAGGAGAGCTAAATCAAGAAGAGATACTTAATATGAATGTATTGAATGTGGTGTAGGATTGTGTCTTATGGATCATTTTAAAGATTATCACACTCTAATAGTATTTTGAATCATGTATTTCGTGATATTTTTTGCAAAGTAAATGTTAATTTGAAATTATAAAAACTTTTACTATATAAAAATAATTCCGTACTCAAAGGGTTAAAGACTTTTCCTCTTCCAAAATTAAGAATATGACGCTCGATGAGCTCAATTCTATGTGTCATCGATGATCAAAGCCAACGATCTTCGCGTCATACCACTAATTGATTACTTCATACAAACTGTTTATTGATCGACTCCACTGTTTATCGAATTTGATTTGCACTAATTACTTCTAAAACGCGAAGGCGATTTAAAACCGAGACTTAGGGTCTAGTTTCTGTAATCATACAAATTGAATAAAAATAAAGCACTAATAAAAAAAAAAAAAAAAGAAAGTTCAATATTACTTCATAGAGATGATGTTACTCTGCATTTTAGTGATGAAGTCTGCCAATTAGAGAATTATATTGCCCCAAAAGAAGTGCAAAGAGCTCATCATTTTTAAAATGAATCGATGTAATGCATACTGTAATTAATTATTTTATGTATCTGTTTTATGAAAATCTATGGTAAATTGCTTGAACGGTTGAAGAAATATGAACGTTTCTTTTTCAATTAGACTTCTGAAACACAATGTGTAGTCTTCTACCATATGATTTAAGAAGATAAAACATTCGAAGATTCATCTCCTTTGATGAAATATAATTTTCATAGATTTCTGTTTTCTGCGTTATTATTAAACGTTTTTCCATAACAAAAGACTTCAAGTCTTCTATTATGTGAAAGTATATTAAGTTTTCAAGCAGAGAAAGATTTTCTATTGCCTTTCATGTATTTTTATAATCTTTAATTAAAAGGATTTTTCAAAAAACCAAAATNATATATCTCTTATAGATTGATGAGGTTGTTTACGATCGTAATCCTGGTAGATACAAACGTAAATTCATTCAAAAATAACTCTTCTTACCCAGTTTTCCAAGTTAAACACGAATCTGAATTCAATTCCTGTGATTTTTAAAGATATTATATCACTCTGAGAGTAGAGTCAGTGGTCACCGGATAGGGTCGCATACAGTATGGTCCATGCTAACTTAGCACGCCTGTATTTTCTCCTTGCAATTTAGTGATAATAAACACAGTGAATATACCTTTTCACTTTTTGAAGTACACATAACACTCGGATTTAAATCCGAGGTTTTCGCATTTATTTTTTTCTGTAAATAAAACAAGATTGAACAATGGACCTATCCCCGTAGTGACAAAGAGCATATTGTCTAGTCTCAATTTTGACCAATGAAAAATTATTTTAGAGCTTCCTTAAAATTACTTGTAATCTAGAGACATCTATAAACACAAACGTGATATGTATCATGCGTATTGAAGCATTTCTCAAAACCGGTAGGGTAAGGCATGTTGGTACGTCTATCAAAGATATACTTCCATCATGAGGACGGCATATTTTACCATATATTGATGCTGGTTTGCAATTATCCTAACAGTTCATTTCTACAAGCAAATTATATCCTTGACGCTGATGTTATTGTCTACTGATTTTTGAATCTATTCTCTAAGCAAATAGTATTGATCTTATACTATTTTTTATCATTTCATTTGTTTTTCTAAAGGCTCTGTTTAAGAAAAAAGAATTTTTTGTTCTCATTTTGAGTGAGTTCAAAATAGTTCCGTTCTCTGAAAATGAAATCAAAGCTCGCTTTGCTTAGAATTATCATTGTGATTCAGATTATCGATTATAACACCATAAAAAAAAGTGTCACATTATAGTGTGAACATATAAAGAGAATTACGTTTTTAACAATGGATTTTAATCCTAATTACATTCAATTTACTTTATTTTATTTTAAAAAAAATAAAACAGTAAAAAAAGACTTTTTTTCTTTGAGTCGGAGACAATTGAACAGATAAAGAAAGTAATCAGTTAAACATATGTTTGATAAAAATAGAATGAACAAGATTTTGAAATATCTACAACAATAAATAAAATAATTTTGAAGGATTTCATCTGAGCATGAGAAAAACATACAAAAAAGATCATTTTTGTACAAAACTAGACATGATGTAGATTTACTGGGTTTCTTTTATATAGCAACCATTTTTTTTATTAACGGTCATATATGTAGAAGACTAAGCATTATATCAAGTTGGTACACGTGACGTATACTTGAAACATTACATACATTTGCAATATATGCATGGCACATATGCTAGTGTGCACCAATGTATCCTGTGTGTATTGAGTTCATAGAGATGGACGCAGAATCATTCCTAGTTGTAATTCAATATTGAATACAAATTCGATCTAAGCCAACTCATTTCAAACGATATAAAGAGATATTTTTTTATTTTGCATGTTATTATTATATCTCTGGTTTAGGTGTGCATCCCTAATTCCTAGTGTAGTGAGCATACCTAGATTTGGAGTTATCCAAAAAAGAGAAAAAGTCAATCAACGATGAACAACAAGATAGAATCTGAAAGAAAAAGTCCTGACGAAAAGGAAATATTCATTTGTTCAGTTTTGCATTAGAAGACTTTGAACCTCCTTTACATACAGTTCAGTTTTGCTTAAAAAAAAGAGCTTAAATTCCATCTAGATGTGTCGCCAGAGGATCTCTACCTCTTCTACAGACATAATTAGAACGATGAGCTCCCATAGAACTTTTTTTTCTGATTAAGTCACTAAATTGTGGCGACACTAACGTTGATGAATTGCGATTAGAGTGATGTAGGTCATATCAAGAACCTTCATTTAGATGTTTGTTTTTTTCTATTAAACGAATTAGTGCATATAAAATCGGATTATTTCTAAATATAGCAAATAATGAATCAACATATTTTATTTAAAGTAAAATTTATCAAATAATTAGTTAGTAGATAGTAACACGTTTTACATGATAGATATTATTTACAATCGACTAAATGATTTTGCACAAAAAAAAATTCTGTATACAAAGATAATCTTAGCTTGAAAATGAAACATATAATACTCTTCGTAATTTAGCAATCCTAATGAATATTTTCTATTTATTAAATATCTAATAATTTTCAATAGTCTAGAAGCTGTCTCAATATTCATAACTTTCATATTGTATTTTATTAAAATTTGTTGAATTTGAAGTTAAACTCACCAAAACACAATACTAAAAACATCTATCACTCTACACTGCATATGAACGATAGATTTTTATTTTACAATAAATTTCTCTTGGAAACAATTTGTTTAGATCAATAAAAATGCTTGAAAATTCCAATAGAAAATAAATAATAACAATAGAGAATATAATCACGGTATTGCCCTTATAACTTTATTCTCTTATCAATTTAAACACTTCCAAATCAGACTGAACATCAAAGAAAAAAAGAGATGTTAATATTTCCACACTTGACATATTTCCTTATTGATCAAAAAGAAAAGTATTCCAAACCAATGCATATATCAAAATAAAAAGAAGACAACTTGTTTACCAATAAATATCTGTATAAATCTTTTAAACCGATCATTGGTTTGCTTGTTTGTTTGCTTGTTTGTTTTTTTTGATCAATATACAAACATTGACACTGAACAGCAGAACAGAAAAGAAAAAAGAAAAAAGAAAAAAAAAACCAATCGACCATGTTTTAAGAGTAAACACAACGAGCTCCAACAACAAGAAAGAAATAGAACAAGAATTTTAATTCTAAGATAAATAAAGACAAAGAAAAAAAATAATAATAAATCACAGGTATGGTTAGATTTACAAACAACAACTGATATTTATCGATTTGTTAGCAGTAGAAAAAAAAAACCTAATCAGTCTGATTACCAAGATTGGTCATAAGTATGCAGCAAACATTATGAAAATAACGAGAGAAAAAAAGAGTCACAGGCTGGCAAGAAATGCGAGCATAAAGAAAAGGAAAAGAAAAAGGAATCACTGTGCCTGCTACGGACGGTTAAACTCAATAGCAAATCTCAATCACTGGACACCGAGATTGTTTCTTGCTTCAACATTTTATTCTTCATCATCAATATCAGTTGGCTAAAAAAAAAAAATTATCAAAAATTAATAGAATCAATTTAATTATACTTGAAAATTAGTATTATAACTTATTGACATAGGTACCGATGAAGCTAATGGTGATGTAGTTGATAACCATTGATCAACTTTTTCTGTAGAATCATAACTTTGTGATCTAGTTAATGCTGGTAAATTATGATTAGAAGTTGTTGTTTCTGTTATTTGTTCTTGTTGTTCATTTCGAACTGAACGATAGCCTTCATCAGATATTTGACGATCAATTTGTATATTTTGTATTGTTAATGGTGAAAATTGGAAATTTAATTCTTCAATTTTTGTTAATGTAGAATTTAAATAATCTTGATTATCTTTTTTTGAATCACTATGATTTGATGATGGTGGTGATGATGATGAATCAATAGGTTTTTTATCATCGGATGATGTTGATGAACGTACTTCAAGAATATTCATTAATTTTGTACTAGAATTTGATAATTGTTTTGATATATTCATAGGTTCAATTAAAGATGATGTTTCAGAAAATGTAACCAAAGCTGAATCACGTATATCATCATCAATTTCAATTCCAGATTTACTTTGTTGTTCATCATCCTTTAATAATTTAAAATTATTTTGATAACTATATTTTAATTCAATTAAATATGATTCAAGACTTTGTTTTAAAAGTTCAAGTGATTGAATTGTAGGAAATAAATCATATTCATACATTGGCATTGATGATAATGTATCAGAACTATCAGTTGAACTACGAACATTATTATACAAGGCAATCATTTGAGGGATATGAGTAAATCCATGGGAAGTCGCCAGCTCATACAGTGACCATGTCAGAATCCTTTCAAACTTTCAGGGCTTGTAGAGAATTTTGCGCTGATCATTTTGATAAAAAAATATTTAGGTTTAAACCTCATTATCACAGAGATATGAATCAAATACAATTTTGAGACTTTCAAGATTTTGGTAAAAATAAAGGTNCGTATTGGATAAATCATACAAAGTGCATTTTTTGACATAAAAAGTCACGAAGGACCAATGTCGCCCACCTTCGGAAAGTTCACTCTGACTTGCAGCATGATATTTCCCTTCGCGCAATGCATCAACAGCAATTCAAGTAAACCCAAGAAGAAAATGTTACGTTTGTGCTAATGCTGTGAGGAGAGCCAAATCAAGAAGAGATACTTCATATGAATGTATTGAATGTGATGTAGGATTGTGTCTTATGGATCGTTTTAAAGATTACCGCACTCTAATAGTATTTTGAATCATGTATTTCGTGATATTTTTTGCAAAGTAAATGTTAATTTGAAATTATAAAAACTTTTACTATATAAAAATAATTCCGTACTCAAAGGGTTAAACGTTTTTCCATAACAAAAGACTTCAAGTCTTCTATTATGTGAAAGTATATTAAGTTTTCAAGCAGAGAAAGATTTTCTATTGCCTTTCATGTATTTTTATAATCTTTAATTAAAAGGATTTTTCAAAAAAACAAAATGATTTTGAGAATTTAGGAAGCGAGTTTATAAGATTTTAAAAAATCCAGATATCAAGTTGAATCCAAGTTTTTAAGATTTTTCAACTCAAAACTGTGAAAATCAGGCATATATTTTTGAAAATATACTAATTCCAGCTTCCGTTTTACGAGGAAATAATAAATTAACGATAGTTCTCTGCTACCTCCGGTGCATTGTTTCTCTATTGGAATCTTCTATTGTGGGCGAAGTTTTAGTTTATATGACAATAAACATATAAAGTATTGTATTGATTTTATAGATATTTGTGCTTTCATCTTAATAAAGATTCCTCTTGGAGCCTATAATTTACAAAATAGATCCATAACATTATCTTTGATTTAAAAACTGTATGCAAAATTTAAATTTCTAAAAAATATTTTTTTCGATGACATAGATAATCAAAAGAAGACAGTATAACGAAACAGATTGATTTCTTTTTCTTTTAGTATTCCTATAATAAGATAATGCTAGATTTTCATACTTACTCAGTTACCGTTGCTAAAAATACAATTGATGGGTAAGAAAAAAAAACTCAAAATACTTCGTTACTGTGCAACATTATCCCTTGTTTATTCCCTTCCATGAAGAAAGATGAAAAAAAAATCTATTCACTACTCTTAAAATAAAAACACTCAGTTAAAAAAAAAACATTCACTCCTTGACGAAAGAGAAATGTCAATTGCTGGTTTGCAGCAGAATATGCGACTTGATCCGAAAACAACAATGAAACATAAAAGAGAAAAAAATTTCAGTTGAATTACAGAAGTCTTTCAAGTATTAATCAAGTTATTGACGCAAAAGAACATTCATTTTTAATTAAATCTGATGCAACTTACAATAAAACTCACGATTTTAAAAACAATTGAAAATGAGATTTCGGTATTGACAAATTCTGACAGAAAAAAAATATGTTTAAGTATTCAACTCTTTTTCTAAGTTGCGCATATGAATGGGGTGATTGCAAAAATTTTCGCTAATCATCAAAACAAAATTCGATCATCGCTGGGATTGAATGGAATTTTCTATGATAAATCATAGTTACTATTATTTAATTATGTGTTCTTTATTGTCACTTGTTCAAGTAATGCAAATGAATCTTGACGACAACGTCCATCAGCTCTTGCGTCTACATTTTCTCGTAGTCCATCATCAAATAGAGAAGAATTCTTTAACAAAACAAGACAAAGTTTAAGTAAATTCATTGTCGAGCTAAGTCAAGTCTTAGATGTTGATTTTTTAAATCTAAATTGATCATTATTAGAAGGAAGAGATATACTAGTTTGATTTTTCAGATAATAACTTGTATGTATCATGATTAGATTTAATTATATATTATTTCCTTGTTTTGAAATTTATTATTATCAATAAATTAGATCAACTACCTGAAAGAACTGCTATATTCAAAGATACGTTGTTGTGTAAATGTCATTGATTTGTTAAGTATAAAATAGACAGATTTTATGTTGATCAAACTGAACGCGCTTGCCATATTTTATATCACAAAAAAACAATAGTTATGTATAGTCTAGTGAGTATACGTAGATTTGGAACTATCCAAGAAAGTGAAGAGAAAAGGTCTATCAATGATGAACAACAAGATTGAACTATATGAAACGAAAGAGTCCTGATCAAAAGGGAATATACCATGAGGAAGAATCAGATCAATAAAAGAGAATAATTACATACAGCTGTAGTAGTGACATTATCAGATGTGTATTACAATGCACTCAGTTTTGCACTAGAAGGCTTTGAGTTCGTTTTATATACGATTCAATTTACAAAAAAAAAAGAGCTTGAATCTCATCTAGAAGCGTTGCCATAAGATCTTTGCTCCCTCTACAGACATGATTAGGATGATGAGTACTCTTGCAACTTCTTTTCTTATTAAGTCACTGAATTATGACGATACTAGCTTTGATAAACTGCATTCGGAATGATGTAGGTCATAATGAGAATCTTCATTTAAATGTTCTTTTTCCTATTCAGTGAATTAGTGCATATAAAATCGGATTATTTCTAAATATAAGAAATAATGAACAAAATGTTTTACTGAAACTAAAGTTTATCAAATAATTATGTAGTGAGTATTTAATAACACGCTCAACATGACAGATGTTATTTACAACCGAATAAATGGTTTTACATAAAAAGACATTTTGTATATACACAGATAATTATATCTTGACAATGAAACATACAATACTCTTTATAATTGAACGATTCAAATGAATATTTTCTATTTATATTATATACAACAGTTTTGAATAGTCTAAAAGCTATATCAATATCCATAACTTTCATTTTGTATATGGATAAAATATGTTGACATTGAAGTTAAACAGGCTAAATTACAATATTAAAAGCATTTACCATTCTACAATATTTATATTTTATAATAAATTTCTCTTGAAAACAATTTGTTTAGATCAATAAAAATGCTTGAAAATTTAAATAGAAAATAAAAAGAAAAAAAGAATTCAATCACGGTTATTGCCCTTGTAATTTTATTCTCTTATCAACTTAAACACTTTCAAATCAGACTAAATATCAAAAAAGAGATGTTAATAATTCAACACGTGACACATTCCCTTATTGATCAAAAAAAGAAAAACATTCCAAATCAATTCACATATCAAAATCAAAAAGGAGACAACTTTTTTACCAATAAATATCTGTATAAATCTTTTATAATCGATCATTGATTTGTTTGGTTTTTTTGATCAATATACAAACAATGACACTGAATAGAACAGAAAAAAAAAAAGAAAAAAAAAACCAATCGACCATGTTTTAAGAATAAACACAACGAGCTCCCACAACAAGAAAAATAGAGCAAGAATTTTAATTCTAAGATAAATAGAGACAAACGAAAAAAAAAAAAAAAATCACAGGTATGTTTAGATTTATAAACAACAACTGATATTTATCGATTTGTTAACAGTAGAAAAGAAAAAAACCTAATCGGTATGATTACCAAGATTGGTCATAAGTACGTAGCAAACATTATGAAAATAACGAGAGTTAAAAGAGTCACAGGCTGGCAAGAAATGCGAGCATAAAGAGAAAGAAAAAGGAATCACTGTGTCTGCTACGGACGGGTTAAATTCAATAGCGATTTTCAATCATTACGCACCAAAATTGTTTCTTGCTTCAACATTTTATCCTTCATCATCAATATGAGTTGACTAAAAAAACAAAACAAAAAGTTTATAAAATAAAGATTAATAAATCGATTTAATGATACTTGAAAATTAGTATTATAACTTATTGACATAGGCACAGATGAAGTTAATGGTGATGTTGTTGATAACCATTGATCAACTTTTTCTGTAGAATCATAGTTTTCTGATCTAGTTAATACTGGTGAATTATGATTAGAAGTTGTTTCTATTACTTGTTGTTGTTGTTCATTTCGAACTGAACGATAGCCTTCATCAGATATTTGACGATCAATTTGAATATTTTCCATTGATAATGGTGCAAAATGAGAATTTAATTCTTCAATTTTTGTTAATGTAGAATTTAAATAATCTTGATTATCTTTTTTTGAATCACTATGATTCGATGATGGTGATGATGATGATGAATTAATAGTTTTTTTATCATCTGATGATGTTGATGAACGTACTTCAAGAATATTCATTAGGTTAGGATCAGGATTTGTTAATTGTTTAGATATATTCATTGGTTCAATTAATGATGATGTTTCAGAAAATGTATCCAAAGCTGAATCACGAATATCATCATCATCAATTTCAATTCCAGATTTACTTTGTTGTTCATCATCATTTGATGATTTGAAATTATTCTGATAACGATATTTTAATTCAATTAAATATGATTCAAGACTTTGTTTTAAAAGTTCAAGTGATTGAATCGTATGAGATAAATCATATTCATACATTGGCATTGATGGTAATGTATCAGAAGTACCAGTTGAACTACGAACATTATTATACAAAGCAATCATTTGAGGAATATGTGTTATTGAAAAATTCTATAAAAATATTTAAATATAAAAAGAAATTAAAAAAGAATTTTTTTTTTGTCTTTCAATTATTTAACCTTTTTATGTTTCCGATGTTTTTTTCCAGTAATTGATGATGATGATGATGATGATTGTTGTTTATTCTTTTTTGGATGTCCACCATATTTATTAACAATATCAGATGATAATTCTTTTTTATATTCAATTTCATCTCCATCATAATATGGTGAATGAATTATTTCATTAGTTGTTGTAGAATTTAAATTTAATGGAAGAAAACTTCGTGGTAATTTCATAGCAATAGCAGTTGTTGGTTGATTATTAGATGTTTTTAATAATAGAGTATTTTCAGAATCACGATCTTCCATATATGAAGAAAGTATAGTTTGTTCTTCTTGTGGTGTTAATGGATGATAGAGAAGTGATGTTAATTCTGATGACGGTGTTAAAGATGTTTGATCATTATTAAGATCATGTTCAGATAATTTTTGACGGAAATAATTTATTAACGTATTGATTTTATTTAATTGATCTTCGCACTGCTGTTTTTCATGTTTCAAACTAAACAAAGCAAAATTTATGAATGAATATTATAAATGAAAATTTGTTTACCAATCGTTTTCGAAAGATATAAATGATCGAATAGGTGTTTGAACACCAGTTGTAGGTGAATCAGTTAGTTTTTGTTGATTAGATTGTAAACGACGACGACATTTTTTTCCATTTGTGGAAGATGAATTAGATGATGATAATAAATGTTCACGTTCAAAACGTAAACTTTCAATAACTAGAAAAATTTAAAATAAAAAATTGACTTTTATTTTAAATGAAACATCTTTCTGAATGACTCAAAGAAGAAACAATAAATATGAAATATATTTTACTGATAGACTACACTTATTCATTTAGATCGAAATTTCCAATGTTAGGAGTTAATACTTGATCTGACGAGAGATTTTTCTATGATGCAAAATTTATCTCAGTAATTGAATTTAAATAAGGCTTTACTTCTAATTCGGTACCTTTCTAGTTCATTTATGATTAGTCATATAAAGAAATCATTCTTGAATGCGAAAAACGAACAACAAATCACATATAATTTCTAAACACACGTCGTAATGCAATTGTACTTAACTGTTAAAGTTCATGATTAAAAATTCAATGCGATGAAATCCATCAGAACGAAATTCGTTAAGAAGCCACAAACAAATAACTGAATTTTTTTCATTATATATTTAACATATCTGCTTGTTACTTAATCACTATACTGGAAAATTTTAGAAACGAACTGACAAATCATAAAATGAGATGTAGTCGAGAACTGCCCTGAATAAGATCATATTGTAAGACTGTTCGACCAGAAAAGATTCAGGTCAAAAAAATTCACATGTACAGCCTTGCAAGATCATATGTAACCATAACAAAAAACTCTTAGTCTCTGAAATCTTACACGGAATCGTACTATAAAATTATTATTAGATCTTATCGTCATATTAGAGTTTCTAGACTTCGAGACCGATATCTCATAAGACAATAAGATCTTTCAAGAGTCTTCTCATATGACTTAGAACGTAGAATTTCTGAAACAATAATTTTTTGTACGGCTTTCGTCTGATCTTATAAGATCTAATATGATCTTTCGAAAAAATCTTATATCTGACTGTTGTTTTTACCTTGGAAGACATTCGTCTTCTGTATTAATGATGCATCTCGTATTTTCTCAGCAGAAAATCCTCAAATTTCACTTAAAGTCAACGTGCATTTTTCAAATTCTAATTAAACTCTTCACTTATTTTGTTTACTCTACTCCGACAATAAATTAATGCTTTTTGAAAATGTATTCAGAATTCTAATTATAAAAAGTAATTTTCTATCGGTTTCTATAATCGATCTTTCTTATTCTCACTTGACAAATTACTAAGTCAATCACAGTTAGCCTTACTTATCAATAGTAATGTATTCTCACTCTCGATTTTCTGAATATATGACAGCATTAGAGATCTATTAAACTAAGCGTCTTTGTAGTCCGATAGTCCATCTTCTATAAGTGTTGATCACGATTTAGAAAAACTCATTTCAAAATTGGTTTGTAATCGATATAAAAAATTCTCTTGTTTTCAATTGACACGATATGTAAGCGACAATGAATAGTTTCAACTCGAAATTACCGATGTTTTATATAAGATAATGTGATCAGCAATAGTTTAAGACATTTTTTGTATTTTGCCGATTTTCTCGTTATCAAAAGCAAGATTTTTTTTTTGCAAAAATTACAGACTATAATAATTTAATATCATTAATTAGTAATTTTTTGTTAATTAATAACAACAGAAAAGTTTTTATGAAAACTTGTAAGTATACCGTTAGAGAGAATATTCAAAACTGTCTGTTTTATTGTTTAACAATAACTCGTTGCAGCAAAAGAATTTTTTTGAAAACCTTATTTCGAAATTTAATAAACATGCTATTAGTAATTAGAATAATTTATTTTAAAGGAAAAAATTCAGTTCTTTGAAAAATAGTGTATTTTATAGACTAGAATACTTTCTATTAAATACGATTCTTCAATCTAGTATCTAAAATGCATTTCTCTCATATACAGTACTTTTACTTTTAATTGATAATTTCACCGAGGATTTTCAGCTATGTTTTTTACACTGTTCTCTATGGCAATACTTTCAAAGTGCTATATCTATCTGATCAAAGCTATTTTGTTCACATGATTCGAAGATCTTATTTGATAGAACGAATTCTACTCTATAAAATGCACTATTTTTCAAAGAATCAAACTTTCTCTGCGAAGCTGCATGGTCTTGATTATTAATAGAATACTAACTAAATTTCAAAAATTTCTTTTACAAAAGTTTCTTCCTAAACAATAAAAGACACAGTTTTGAATACTCTCTATAACGATATACTTAAAAATTAAATGTTATTACTAAGCTTTCTGTAGTTATTGATTGATCATTTTAAATTATTGTAATTAGCAATTTTTCAAAAAATTTTTATAAATAGTACATGAATGTTCCTCTATAGCATCATACGAAATTCCATTAATATTAAAGAAACATTTACAAGAATCATATGTTTTCGCCCACATGCAAAATTTATTAATAGAATGTCCCATTTCAACTTAAGCGAATGATTATTTTATAACGATTTTTTCTGTTGGGATGTCTTTACGAATCGAGAAAGGAAATAACAAAGTAGTGACGCTGAACGGAAATTAAATTTAGAACATTTCTTTACATTATCCAGAGAGAAAAAAAAATAATTGATAGACACGAGTCATTTACAATATGCTGATTCCAATTTATCGAAAGTCATTCCAAATAAGAAAGTAGACTAGATGATCGTACGAGTTCTTTCAAGCTTGTTAACAATACTATCTTCTCCTTTCACTTTAACATCTATTATGTCTGATATTTGAGAGATTTGTTTTCGTCCCTGTCATGTAGAAGAAACCAGTTAACATATGGTCCCCATTCACCTATTTACCTGTCCTTTTATCTTATGTATTTTTCTCTTTGCTCTTTGTTACAAATGTTATACGATTTTTTTCTCTGCTCTTTACTGACCTTCTTTGCTATCATATTATGATAAATATGAATATACGTGACAAAATAAAGCGTACTCAAAACAAAAAAGAAGAAAAACAACAAACCACTTAGTATCTCAAATTTTTGCCTATTGAAGAAAATCAGCATTTTTTTCTCCTTATTCATGTAACAATCAAATTGATCAGAAACTGATGGTTTCTGTGTGGATCTTAACTGTAACTAGTTCTAGTACTTAAAAAATGTTTCTTAAATAATTTCTTTTCATAGAATAGAAAAATTTTTTTAAATTGTGGAACTATTTTAGTCGCTTGAATTCAAATACAGTATTGTCTAACTACAGATTTTGTTCTTGATTTTACATAAAACTATATCGAAATATATCTTTAACACTAACTTGTTTCAATTTGAGGTAATTTTTCAGCATTTTCACTTAATAATTGTTTGANTTATGTCTGATATTTGAGAGATTTGTTTTCGTCCCTGTCATGTAGAAGAAACCAGTTAACATATGGTCCCCATTCACCTATTTACCTGTCCTTTTATCTTATGTATTTTTCTCTTTGCTCTTTGTTACAAATGTTATACGATTTTTTTCTCTGCTCTTTACTGACCTTCTTTGTTATCACATTATGATAAATAGGAATACACGTGACACAATAAAGCTTACTCAAAACAAAAAAGAGGAAAAACAACAAACCACTTAGTATCTCAAATTTTTGTCTGTTGAAGAAAATCAGCATTTTTTTCTCCTTATTCATGTAACAATCAAATTGATCAGGAACTGATGGTTTCTGTGTGGATTTTAACTGTAACTAGTTCTAGTACTTAAAAAATGTTTCTTAAATAATTTATTTTCATAGAATAGAAAAATTTTTTAAAATTGTGGAACTATTTTAGTCGCTTGAATTCAAATACAGTGTTTTCTAACTACAGATTTTGTTCTTGATTTTACATAAAACTATATCGAAATATATCTTTAACACTAACTTGTTTCAATTTGAGGTAATTTTTCAGCATTTTCACTTAATAATTGTTTGATTTCTGCTTGTTTTCGTAAATTTTTATTTAAACTTTCTTCTAATTTCTAAACAAGAAAAAAAAAAAAGATTAATTTTCTTTCGTTTAAAATAAACCTTTCGTTTAATAGTAGCAGCTTGTTGTGCATCTTCAGCTGTTTTAAGATGTGCTTTATATTCATCTTCTTCTCTAAATAAAAATTGAAATTATTATTTGAAAATGAATTCGTATACAAAGCCTACTTAAGAATAGGTAAAGCTGCTTCAATTGAACGAATTTCTCGTTGTGCTAATGCACGATATTCTTCTGTTTTATTTTCTTTTTTTAATTCTGCCTCATATCGTCTAAAAACAAAAAAGAGAATTCCAATAACAAAAATAAATGAAATCTAACCGTTTATCTCGAAGTGCTATTGCTAAATTAGCATAACGAAGTCTCGAACGTGATCGAAGATTTGTCATTTGAACATGCTAATAAGGAAAAATAAGTTATTTTCTTTCAAAATATGTACAAAAAAAAAATGTTCTTACTAATCTCTTTTTAGTTTGCGTTTGATTATTTATTTCTTTATTAATTTCTGAAATTGAAGTACGTAAAGCATTGATTTCATTTTGTAAAAATTCAGAATCTTGTTTTAATTTTTCTTCATCGTATTTTTTCTAAATAAAATAAAATCATTTTTTTTTTTCATTGTAATATAACAATAAATACTTTTTGACGCATTAATCCTTGAAGTTCAGATTTTATTTCTGATAGACGTCGACGATTATCGACTTCATTTTGAGATGTGACATGTGAACTAAAAAAAAAAAAAAAACAAGGCCAATAAGTGTAAATTAAAACTCGGAAATTATTAGGTTTGGATTTTTACTTTAATGGTTGTTCGTCTTCGTCACTCATTATTGTAATAAATAACTGCTAATGAAAATGAAAATCGTAGATTGTTATTTTTCGTTTTTGACGTTTGACTGATTAATCATATGAAAAAGAATGCATGAGTATTTGTCGTCGTTTCTTATTGATCATGTCATAAATGTTGGAATTCCATGTTTAACATGATTACCTCGAATAACCAGGACTAAGGTAGATAAGGAGGACTATTATCTCTCCGAATCAATCTAAAGATAAAACTTGTAAGAAATAATAGTTATTATGAGTACAAAACAAATGTTTAGAAAAATAGCCTAAGTTCAAATGCCAAGCAGTAACATGATAAACAAGAAATTGCCACGTTATATAAGTAAATCTGAATGGATGAAAAATACCAATGGAACAAGAAAAGAAATAAAGAACGAAAAAACATTGGAATTAGTTTGTTTGGGTCAAATAGTCCATCAATATTATTGACCAATACAATTTTAGAATTGGTGTTGATTATTCTATTTATAAAATTTATAAAAATATAAATTTGAAAAGAAAAATTAAAAATTCAATTAAAATCTTTCAATTTTAGTTAAAATATATCCAAAATAAACTTTAGCGTCATCTATGGATATTTTCTTTTCAAAGTTTTCTAAAATATTTTTATTAAATAATTACTCATATTTAATATATTCGAATAATAAAATTTTTGTTGACTTTAAATTTAAGAAACAATATTTAAATAACCTAGCAACCAGTAAATACTAAAATTCGAATGGTTGTATGATCTAGCAAACATATCAACCTGATTTTGATGACAAACTTGTTAAAATTCTTGGCAACCATCACTTAATCACTTTAAAACTATACATAAAACATGTGAACATATTCGAGTTTTTTTTTTTGAAAGACAAAAATCAGTGTCTGTTCTTCATTGAGTCATTCAAAGAAATCTGATTCTGTAATAGTTCTCATCAGTTTGTACCATATAGTTCTTTCGTAAGTCTAAAGTTTAGAATGGAAGAATTATCAGTATACTAAGAAAAAAGTGCTATACGAAACCTTAATAAGATTTTATAAATTTTTAAAATAATAACTTCAATTGGTTTTGTAGGCTCATGCGAAACTTCAGAAAAAGTTTCGATTTCGTTTGATCCTGTACAATTTTTTTTTCAGCGTACTTATCATCCATATTAGATAAAAAGGAATTTTAATAAGAAAGTTGAATTCATTGGAACCAGCGACAGAGTTATAAGTTGATATCCAAATGAGCAACGGAACTTGCTATTTTTCTATAGTTTCTATTTTTAAAGTTTATTTAGTTCTGAAGGTTATGCACTGAAAAGAGTAGAAAGTAACACTAGGGATCTTACTGATACGGAATCAAACGAAGATGTCAACCAAAACAAAACTTCAGAATTAGTAAAATTTTAAAATTGGAGTATTTCTTTTAAAACGCCACTGGTGCTTCACAGAATTGATTTCTGTTCCTATCGATTGAGTAGTCCGCTGACGTTATCGTCTTAATTTTTATTCACTTAAGACTTTTATGGACAAGCAGATCTTATAGATCGAATGATTTTCTTAATGTATGAAATAAGTATAAGTATACATTCACCAGACTAACGAACATATAGAGAGTTTCAATCCAATTTTGTAAAATATTTGTATTTTTATACAAAAAGAATTCATATGAGTATGGAAAGCCGATTTATTTGCTGAAAACTCTACAAAGATTAATGAATAAATTAGTATTCAACAAGATATTCAGATGACAACTAAAGCAAAGATTCCGATAAAGAAAAAACAGCATTATGTACTAGTTTCGATCTTTAGAACTTTTAAAATTTTTCTAGTTTTTGTGAGCTGATGTATTTGAACGATTCATTCTGAATGCATGAGCTTGAACCATCTTTAATCTATCTATGAGTATGTTCTAGAAGAAGTAAGTAATGGATTTCACAAGACTGAATGAAACTTGATGAAAATTCAAGGATTATAGAGTTCGCTGTTTTCTTTTTGATGTGATTATATGTTATATGAATGAAATCTTTATAAAAAAAAAACAAGTAAAGAGAATCGATCAACTTGTTTTACAAGCGAATGCAGGTATTCCTATTATTGCTGTTTTCTTATGATAAATTGAGGAAAATTATAAATTTTAATTTTTGACCTTCTCAATAAAATTATAGATAAAATGAAAGGTTTTCTGCACAGTCAAGATGGCTCTTATGCCTTCCCTCTTGGTCCTAAAGTGACAACAATTGGACGAGAAAATTGTGACATTAGTATTAATGTATGATTCATATTTTTAAAATTTTTTTAGTTTTATAAATAAGTCTAATTTCTTCACAGAGTCCTCAAGTTGATAATCAACATGCATTAATAGAATATGATGATGAACAACGTTGTTTTATTTTGAAAGATCTTAATTCATCAACAGGTACTTATGTACATGATTGTCGTGTTCAAAATGCAGCTGTTCGATTGAGTCATGGAGATTTCATACGATTTGGTTTTAATGGTTTGCCACTTGAATTTCGAATTGAGCAACAACAACAACAGCAATTAGAAGTATTTATTAATAAATTACTATAGAAATAATAATTTAATTTTATATAGACAACAATGCCATCAATATATCAAAGACAATCATCATCAAATTCTCTTCAACTCATAACACAAACCATTCCATCACGAAGAGTAACAAGTGGAATAACAAATCATCAACAACAAATTGATGTTCGACAAAATCCTGGATTTTCACTTAGGTACGAAATAATTTTTGACGTAACCAAGCGTTACAGAGTTTCATCCTTTTTTGGATAGTCACAGTTTGAAATAGAATGAAAGTAAAAAAAGAATTATCAGTTACCAGATATCCATCATTAGCAGCGGATTCTGTATTAAACAATGTAGTTTTTATTAAAGTCCAATGAAAAAACTTTTTCAATCCGAGAAAAATAAATGCTAAATTTTTAATTAACTAAATACTCCATTTTGTTTAAAATTCAATGTTAATCCCAAATATATATACTTATGAACAAAGCTGCTTAATGATCTAAACATACAGCAAAATTCAGATACTAATCATGATATTCTGTAACAAAATATTCATTTAGATAAAAGATACGAATATTAAGTTCAAATGCTTCAAATGGGTGTGTTCGGTAGAGCTTATTGAATTCTAGGTGTAGACTTCGTTTTCTTCTTGCGAAAGTTAGCAAAATTAAGCGAGTTTCGATACAAAATTTCATTAAAACTAGAGATAGGTTTTGATCGCATTATCTTGGTTTGTAGACATCTTACATTTCTACGAAACACTATGTGTTGAAAGCATATTTCATATCTGCCCAGGGAATAAAAAAATGAAAAAAAATTGCATTAAAATGATGAAACGGACAAAAACATGCATGTATTTCAAATTCATTGATGAAAATGTTCATTTTCATCAATGAATTTGAAATAGATGCATGTTTTTGTCCATTTCATCGTCAGAAATGCGATTTTTTTCCTGTTTTTGATATAAAATTCATGAAAGGCATGCAATTTTTTGTCATTTTTTTATTCCCTGGGTGATAACGAATTTTTTTTTATACTGATCGATCCTTGTTTCACGATGTATTCCACTAAGTCTTTTTACACAAATTTTCGAGTTGTCCACTTCACGAAAGATTTTCTGTCTCTAGAACACTCAATGCTACTTAGAAATAGAAACGTTTCCATTTCGAATATTATCAATCATTCTCTTCTTTAAATCGTAGATTCAGCTTTTTTCACTTTTAAGTTTGAACCGTATCCTATGAGTCGATGATCAATGGTTGACCATACCGTTTTGTTTTTGTTTTTTTCATTTAATAAATTCTAATTTTTATAGAGGTCGACCATCAAGTGCAGGAACTAAAAGGACGTCAGCTATTATAACAAATACATCTAGTCATGGTTCAAATGGCATACGTGATTCTGTTGTTCGTGGCATGTATCACATATTGATTTTTTTATTTATAATTATAAATTGATTTAGCTAATGCTTGGACAATTAACAATACTTCGAATCCTGGTCGAGGTGTTATAAATGGAAATTTTAGTGGTGAATTAGAAGTGCCTTGTCAAGATAACAGTGAAATAACAAATCGTGTTGATCAACTTGAAAAAGAAGTTAAAGGACGTGATGCAGAAATTCGTGAATTAAATGATCGAGTAAATATTTACTCTTTCTTTTTATCGAATTCGATATGATTTTTTTTTTCTATTTATCTTAGCTTCGTAGTTTAGAACCAATGAGTTCAACATTTACAAATGAAGTTCATACATTAAGAAGTGAATTAGAAAAAGTTAAACGAGACAAACAAGCAGCTTCAGGACTTATTTCAAGTCTTCAACGTGATCTACATTCAAAAGTATACGAATAAAATTATATCATTTATTTATATAATATCATTTTTGATATTATTAGGAGTCAGATTTGGCTAAATTAACACGAGAAATCGAAGGATTAAAGACTGATGGTCGCGATAAAGATCTTCGATTACAATCACTGCAAGCTAAAGTAAAATATAAAATAATATAAAATTAACCTGTGAGTTTTGCATGTCTTCTTTTTTCACTCTCTTCTGCATTTTATAGCAGGTGAGTGTTGAAAGAATGTTTGAAATATATCATAATCTTTAGCACGATTGTTTTACTTACATTTTTTTAAATCAAATTGCTCATTATTAGTTGCTTTGTTAATATCCGACACTGATTTTCTTTTCTCTATTCTCAATGGACGTCATTTAAATCGCTTTTATTTTTTCAGCTCAATCTACTTCGTGATCGTGGTCGTGCTGAAGAAGATCGATTCACAAAAGAAAAAGAACTTGTAAATCTTCGTAATGTAAACTTCATCTCCTTCTCCTTCTACTATTAGTCTGTATCTGGTTGCTCATTGTGATCGAAATTCTTTGATTTTTATTAAAAAGAAATTTTTTAGTTGATTTTCTATTTTCATTTAGAAAATCAAATTAGCTGAACAACAAATTAATGAATTAAATGAAAGTGTTAATCGACTTAAATCTCAATTACAAGATACAGAAAAACAATTATTAAGATTAAATCAAAATGAACAAAAATTAAAACAAGAATGTGAACACGCACGTGAACAACTCGCAGAAGTTCAACGAAATGAAACTACACTTAGAGCCGATCTTGCGAATGCACAAGAAAAAGTAGAAATTTTATAAAAATATTTTCTTAATTTTCATGTTTTTTTTGTTTATTTAAGCATAATGAATTTTGTATAAATATATGGAAATGTTTTTCAAATGATAATGATGATGAATATGACGAGGATCAACATAATATTATTGAACAAATTCAACAAATTCAACAACAATTAGATCAAGCTCGAAGTGAAATTGAACGTCAACGTGATATTAATTCATCTTCAAATGAACAATTTAGAGTTTCACTTGGCAAATTTATTGATATACTTGTAGGTTATTTACATAAAGAATACTAATAATAATAATAGTTAGAAGTTTTTCATAGACAAGTGCAATGCAAGAACAAACAACAGCAAATAATCTTTTACATGCTCGACAACAAATGATTGAACTTGAGGAATCGGCTGATAATGATAGTATTGTTGGAATGTTCAAACGAGCAGCAATTAATGCTGTTGATAGTCATGCAAAACTTCTATCTGGAATTAATAATTTAGTTATTAAACGTGATGATCAACAAGAGGATTTATGTGAGTTATTATTAATGCAAATAAAATTTTATATTAGTTTTCTTTTTATAGCTATTAATGAAATTTTGGCTATAATTCATCGTCAATATGAAGAATTACGACGTGAAAAGGACAATTTATCATCTGAACATACATTTCGTGAACAAACATTCCGTTCTGAATTAGAACAAATTACAGCAGAAAAAGAGTATGAATAAAAATTTAATTAAAAGCTTTCAGGTAACATTTCTTATGTAGTGCTTTTTGGCAACAACGTTTTAATGATGAATGTGATCGTCTTCGTCAAGAAAATGCTCAATTACAAAATGCATATGATGAGCAAACACGTTCATTCACCGATCGTTTAGAAATAGCAACAGCACAAAATAGTGAATATCTTCAGGTGATATTAAAAAGAATTTTCTCTTTTTCGCTAGTATTCAATCGAAATATTTTTATTTGTTAGCGATGGAATATTCTTCAAACAGAATCATCTCAAAAAATTGATGAACTAACAACAAAACTACAAGAATATCAATATGAATTAACTGGACATGTTCGTTAAATCTTTCGTTTTTTTTTCTAAATTCTAAAAATTTTTATTATATTGTTTTATAGAAAGAACAACAAAATAAATTAACAGACACAAGTGAACAACAGAGAGAAGAGTTAATTCGAATTGAAAAAGAAAAAAATGCAACTATTCAAGATTTAAAGTAATTTTGCAAATCAATGAATATCATGTTTTTTTTTTTCTAAATATCAATTTCCAGCGGACAAATTGAAGTTTACAAAGATCAAGTTCGACAATTTTCAAAAACAATTGTACAATTAGAAAAAAATTTAGCTGAAGAACAAGAAAAACGTACGAAAGTTCAAACTGAATTAGATAATGTTGACAAACATAGAAAAGGTATTTATCTAGAAAACTTACATAATAAATCATGATGAAACAACGATACTAAAACTTAGATAAAAACAGAAAGTAAAAAAACAACTTTCGCTGTGTTTTTTTTTTCTGTTACTTATTGATCATATATTATTTTAAGCTACAGACTTAACAACATCCTGTTCCTCTTTTTTTGATCATTTCTGATTTTTGAGAAAGGCACAACCGATTAGATTCAAATTTTTACCACAGATAAACCACATTGAATAAGAAGACACGTGTTCAAGAAAAAAGTTTTCACGAGGATTTTCGCAATTTTTGTTCAGGCGAAACAATGGTTTTCCATGGGACCGGGTCCCAGTACATTACAGCTTCCATCACTGTTATCCTATTCGATTGGAAATGTTTTTGAAGATATGTCAGACGATGTCTCATAGGTATTTTTAAGTGTTTTCAAAAATTTGGTTTTCTTTCTTATGAGAGAAATACATTATGGTTCGAAGCCAAAACCAGAGTTTTAACTATCAGAATTCTATAAATCTGAATAGAAAAGTCAAAAATGAAAAAGGTTGATTTCACTTTTGCAAATCATTTCCAAATATTTTCCGTAAAAATTTTAGCTAGATCTGCCAAAGGAACGTCGTAAGCAGCCACAATTAACAAAATTGGTCTGTAGCAATAAGCTGTGTACAGTCGACTATACCTTATATCTAGCTCAAAACCAAGCTATTGGTCAAAGAATAGATGGAAGGACATCCTTAAGTAATTCATTCTAATCATGCTTTGAATTACAATCAGATTGCTTTTCGATAAACTTCAGTACACTTTAATTTGACTCGAAAAATTTGTCGTGACTATAGATATTTATATTTCATGGGCTTTTTAATTGTTATTGGATGTTTAAGACATTCATTTCAAAATTAACCAACATTGAGCATGTTACAATTAGCTGAAGAAGATAAAATATTCTCTTTCTAGGAGAACATAAAAAAAATGAAAAATCATTTATGATCGAAAATGATATGCATCCTACAGTTGGCTTAAACCTACTTATACACATAGATTGATTTGCTGAATTAAAGGATTTACAAAATTTCATAGGCAAACATTTTTTTATATTACTTCAGTCTCGGATATCAGTTAATCTTATATATCATAATAAAATAGTTGATAGTTTGACATCTCAGAAGGAAATTTGAAATTGCTCCCATTTGATAGACTTTCGAAAATCACATTTATTTGTTTTTACGTTTCAGCAAAATAGACATAAGAAAGTAAGAAAGGCTCATTTTTTTTCAGCGTTATTAAAAATTTTTTTCCTTGTTTTTTTAAAAAAAGAAATATAATGCTGAAAATAATAATCTATCACAGTTTTTTTAAAGCTTCAAAATCAAAACCTCTTTGTATTTCTATGTCTGCTTAAAAGAAACGAGAAGCATGATTGAATGCTGCAAAATACTTTTCTCAATGTCTATTAACTTGGATACTGATCTATTCAATATAGTTTCTAATTCATAGAAACTTAAATATTTTCTTAATTTTCTAGTTAATAGACTACCGACACCTCCAGCTCCTGTTGAAACAGTAGTGCCTGTAGTGTCTGTTCTAACTGCACCGATTGCTGATCTCAGGTTAATTTTTTTTTTTTAATGTAATCTTTATTTTTTGAAACTTCCAATTATATATATAGTCAAGAATTATTTGCACATAAAGCACGTATCCAAGAACAAGAACAAATAATTATTTCATTACGACGTGATTTAGCTGGTATGACAGCACGTTTATCAGATGTTCAAGGTGAACTGAGTGAAAAACAAAAACGAGCTTTAGAAAAAAGTGAATTTACAATACGTGAACAAACCAAAGAATTAAATGATACAAGATTAAAATTATCAAAATTAAGTGATATTGTTGATAAACAATCTACACAAATTGAATCATTACAATCAGATCTATCGTAAGTTTTTATTTCTTATTAACAATTGAAATTTCATTTGTTTTACTTTTGATTTCAATAGAAAATCTAAAGTATTAGCAAATCAATATCAATTATTAGTTGATCAACGTCAAGCTGATATTGATCGTTTGACAAAATCTCTTGAAGAAAAAAATTTACTCGTCGAACGAGTTGAAAAAACAAATCAAAATGAAGTATATAACTTATCATTTAATTTAATCCTTAAAAGTCAAATGTTTCTTTCAAGAGACATTGTAGCAATTGCTATTGTAGACTTAATAAAACTCTAATATGACAAAAAAAAACAGTATATTCCAGATTAAGATGATCTCATAAACCATAAAATAAGAAAAACAAATCCTCTTCTGTAATAGTCAAACGGTACAGTACAATTTTTAAAATCCATAATTTTTTAAAATTCATTTTTTACTCTAAAAACATTGTTTGGTAATTATATTCTATCAGCCCATGAATAGTAGAAGAACTATTTGAAGTATCACGTGAGTGAATTCTTGACTATTTTGAGTCCTTCTAAGAACTATCACAAGGTAGGATCTGAAGACGGCCAAATGTTCTTCCCTTTCAATAGTTCAAAACTCCTGATCACTCAAAAATTTTGTTTCGTCGGTGATGGAATTACTGATTTCAATCTAATTCTGAACACTTCGCGATAATTCTGATCCCACTCCTGGAGATTATTCAATAGCCAAGTAACCAGTGAGCTGGCATTATTATCGAAATCATGAGATAATCCTTTTATTCTGTATAAGATTGATTTCACAACTCTTGACTAGGATCATCGAGTAGTGTTTTAATAGAATGGAAAGTGCAGAAATATTAAAAAAATTGGAAATATTTTATTCAATTAATTCTTAATTATTATATGAAATATATAAATAGAGTTATATGTGAGAAAAAAAATTTCTCACATAAATTAATAAAAATGAGAGATTCTTGCCGCTAAGACCGAACCTCCCTTCCAAAGAACATTCTATATTTCTATAAGGAAACAAGTTTATCTTTTCTTTAACTAATTATAATATAATCATACTAAGTGTCCATAGTCTCTATTTTTTATCATCATTGAAAACAAAACCATCCTCGGCTTTTAAGAGTTAATATCTTATCTTTAATATATATATATATATTTTCGATATTCAGGGTCGTATAACTCATGAACTTGTTGCTATTGGTGCACAGTGTAAAGGTGAACGACATGAACAAACAATTGGACGACAACGTGAAGCATTAAATGAATTACGTGCAAGAATTAAATCATTAGAACAATCACGACCAGCTAATCCATCGTATGAAAAAGTTTTACAACAAGTTGTCTTACTTAAACGTGAATTAGCTGAGTTACGTGCACGACAAGCTTTACCAACAGATATACCTTATTTAACAACAACACCAGGTTCGAATTCTTTTAATCAAACATCAACAACTTCATTCCGTCAATCACCATCAGGAGCCAATACATCAGATATAACACCTGAAGCACAAAAAATTATTGAAGAACGTACTGCTCATGCNAAGGAAAACATTAACCATTAATATTAATGTTAATGATTTTCATTAACATTAATATTAATGATTAATGAAAAAACATTAACATTAATATTAATGTTAATGTTTTCATTAATCATTAATATTAATGGTTAATGTTTTCCTATAAAAACTTAATTCATTAATATTAATGGTTAATGAAAAAATCAGCATTAATTTAATATTAATGTAAATGGTCCACCCCTACTTGTGAGTGCACAGCGATCCATGAAGACCTTTCATGTATTACTAAGATTATAAATCTAAACGCGTTTTTTTTAAGAAAACACATTAGTGCCTTGTTGTCAGGAATATGGAGTCTGCTCTTTCCACTTGTATTCTAATCGAACATCATATTTAATTGAATGCACTTGTGAAATCCATGACTCATAGACATCCTGAACACATCGTAAACTACTTATTTACGCTCACTAGCCTCTCTCTTTCAAAACAAGTGCGGCGACTTAAAATAATACTAATCTCAAGCAGTGTTTTCTTTTTATAAATTTTACCGTCACTAAAATAAGATAACTATTCGAAGACTAGCATTGTCATTCTGCTTGTTAAATGCTGACAACGCACAGGTGTTTCGTGCCTGATTTGATTCTTACCTGTCGATACGGCAATCCGAAGAAATGATGAGAGTAGTTGCTTGGAACTACTAAGATAGTCGACGAGAGCGATACTAAGAGATGGTACAAGATTTACATATGTTACATGATGATTACGCATTATTTTTATCAGATAGGCGATATTCAGATAAGTTTCACTGCTTGGACAGAGTAATACGCAGGTACCGCCGACTAGTACTGCTCCAAGTATCTCTTGTAGATGAGCATCAAATGTATCTCGTGATACTTGTAATAGTATGTCACTCTCCAGGATATATCGTTCATAACACATAGCAGCGAGGTAGTATGCAAAATTTGTGTGTCCAATTGGAACACCTTTAGGAGTGCCTGTCGATCCCGATGTGAAAACAATGAAAGCAGTGGCAAAATGATTCTCTGCAGGTTTGTCAGTGGTTAACGAGTCGTTTTTATCTTCTTGATCAATTCGTATCATGAAAACACGATCATTATCGATGAAAAGATGTGTTGTGGCATGGTGCACCAGTATAAATTTAGTGTGGGTTTCATTGAGAAGTGTCTGATGTCGCTGATTCGGATCGTATGGACTTAATGGGCAATAGACAGCGTTGCTCATGAAAATGGCCAAAATACCAACGATCATTTCGACACTTCGTTCGACACATTGACATACAACGTCGCCTGGTTGTGCAATGCGGGACAGTCGACATGCGAGTAAATTAACCAACGAATACAATTCACCATAGGTTACCGATTGATCTTCCAACACCACAGCGATTTTATTAGGATGATAACACGCTCGTTCGACGAAACGGTCACAGAGATTTGTAGACGGTAAGACAACTTCTATAGGAGAACCATGGAGTGAAGCTGTTAACGATTTGCATTCAATCATATCTAAAGGTAGAACAAGAGACGGGCAAGAAAATGATAGAAAACTGCTCAAGAAACTGAGAGGTGACGATTTTCATTCGAATCAGAATTTGATCGAAGATCAAATTGCACTATAACTGTAAGAATAATAACTTTAGAAAAACAAATGAAACAGTTTTATGTTTTCGAAGTACAAACTATTCTCATAACCTTCATCTACATGCGGATAATAGGTATGTCAGAAAAGGTGATCAACAGAAATGAAACAGGTAATAGTCACCAAAAATCTACACCGGTTCCATCTCTGACTAGTGCGACCTTGGATAGGCCATGAGAACCTTCGAGCATTCTGCTTCTTAGATTGCCCTAGAAAAGCTAGGAAAGATCTCATCTAAAAATAACTAGTGACTGCTCCAGCTCGCGTCACCTAGAGCAGTCACAGACCTAGTGGCGACTTCGAGACATCAGAAAGCCCTCGAAACATTAGAAGACCCCGAGTGTGGGCGGATGTGGGTGCAGGCATTTTTCATCTACTTACTCAAACCGCACCCACACCCTCAAGTGGTTAGGAAAAAAACTGCCTTCATGTCTCCATCAAGTGCATGCGGCCCAAAAACCCATGAGAAAGTCCTACAGAGGTGACATTGTGAACCTTGGTTCTCCGCCATTTGATTCAGATCCAAAGTGATTTTTCTAGAGTCACTAGCAATCACAGAGTAGTTCAAAATTAGAGGGGCAGCTGTCTGGACAAAACGTGTCTTGATATCGCTATGAAGTGCATAAGCTCCAAAAATTCATGGGAAAGTCTTGGCGAGGTAACACTGTGGACATTGGTTTTACCATATTTGATGCAGACCCGAAGCGAATTTTTTAGAATCATTAGCAATCATTGGGTGCTACACAATTAGAGGAACAACTGGTTGGAAAAAACGTGTCTTGATGTCAGTAGGAAGTGTATAGGCCTGAGCCCTTGGAAAAGTTGCGCACAAGTAACACGATCGACCGTTGTTCTGCGTTGTTTGGTTGACGGACGCAGAATTTTCAGAGGATCAATAGTAACTTTCACATGATGTAAAGATACAAATCTAAGTTTATGAGAGGTTTGTAGAGTCCGGCTATGAAAGATAGAATGTGGGAAATTGTCATAACAGTGTACTAGCTTGTGTCGAAGGTCGATTATGATTTATTATACTTTGGGCTGGGCTTGAATAGCTCCATTAGTCATAGTGGCTTCTGAACTGGGGCACGAGTATATCAGTATAGTTAGACGGATAACATCCTTGGAAAATGCTGATTGTACCTCGGAACTAATTGAAATTAACAGATATGTCTTGAATCGATGATTACTGAGGTTAGTTGGGGTGGGGCTGGGCAGTGAGGCATTAATGGTTTCAGCGAAGCTGGTTTATTGGATTTTCACTAGAATAGAAATACCTGTTGATGTGAGAGATAAAAATTAAATGGTGGTACAGCACATTAGGATGAACATGGAAAGCTACTATAAAATTTATTGCAATCTTGGGGGTGTGAGTGGGTGTGGGTGTGTGGATGAGAGATGGAACCGGTACGTACCTCAGACAGACCGGTTACCGGTAGGCCGGTGGATTAAAGACTCTATCTTGGTTACTTAAGCAGAATTTCTATTAATCGAAACCGTATGGAGTCGTTTATATTAAATGTCATCACTGTCGATGTTTCTTTTGCACGTTTTATTATGGTCTCATCGCATGAAACAGAAGTACAATTAGTACGTGCGTGTGGAGTCCTCTCTGATGCCGATCTAGATTTCAGAAAAATCGGGTAATTATTAGTATACGAGTAAACTACCGATAGACCGGCCGATCCGATTCGGCCTAGTTTGATCTTCTCACACCTGTACCGGTACAGATCATGAAAAATTCAGCCGGGTCCCATCTCTGTTGCGACTGACGGCGCAGCTTGACCTTAGAAAAATCACTTTGGGTCTGAATCAAATAGCGAAAAACGAAAGTCAACAATATTGGCTGCAAGGACGTTTTTACGTATATTTACGTCTGTATTCTCCATGAAGTGAAGTAAAGGAAAAGTTCCTTGGATCAGGCTGAAATTTTCAGCGACGACTACCCAAGCAGACAAGCGCCTTAAAAAAACGCGTTAAAACACATTCAAATTTCGTTAAAACGCCATTTTTACGATTTCTTGAACGCATTTTAACACGTTACGGCATTAACTGGTTAAAATATGTAAACTTTTAAAAAATTTTAAGCGTTTTTATCCGTTAACAACTCAAAGTTTATGCTTTTTTTTGCCTACGTTCCTTAGCAGATTTTCTTGTGTGAGACATTTACTATAGTTATTTCTGATTTTTAAGCGATACAACTTTTTTAAATACATAGGTAATAGTCAAAATAGCAGTTCCTGAACCATCGAAGAAATCTTTCGGTGTTTTCTTTTTTTGTTCGTTGTTCTTTCTATACTTTCAAGGTAATATTCATCAGTAGAATGCATATAAATACACATTTCTCCAGAAAAATATGTAGTTTTATGAACATATGTGCATATAAACATTTTAAAAAATTTATCAACTATTTTGAAAAAATATAACAAATGTATGTCAGATATAGACTTATGAAAAGGTTTTAGAGAAATATATAGAAACGCTTTTGAAAAAATTTAACAAATAACAAAATTTAATGTGTTTCAGACTATTTTGAAAAAACGATGTTTCCGCAAACAATTATTTTTTCTTTTCATTCAAATAGTTTAAAACATCTTTATAAATATATTTTAAGAAGATATAGATACAATTTTAAAAAATGTGCTTGAAAACTCTATCAACAAATTTTTCGAAATTTTTTAACAGAATGTAATAAAAAGCTTTTGAGAAACTGAAACAAAAAAACTAATAATGTTTTTCAAATTATTTTGAAAAAACTATGTCTTAGAACAGTTTCTTTTAATTTATCAAAATATTCTAATAAAATCTTTATAAATATATTTTAACAAATGCACATGTAATTTCAGGAAATATACCTGAATAATCTATCAATAACATTATTAGAAATTTTAAAAACTATATCGAAAAAAAATCTCAAAAAAATTTAACAAAAGAAACTAAATTCTTTTTTAAGAATTCTTTTTAAAAAATATTTCTAAAAATATATCTTTTTTCCTCTATTAATATATTTTTAAACAATATTCTGTGTTTGCAAAAAAATCATTTCTTTTCAGTGCATATTATTTTTATTTTTTTCATGGGGACCAAAAGACTAATAAGAATTTTTTGAATCTTAATTTTATTTCAAGCCATTTTCCTATAAAATTTCGTTTCATTTGAGTAGTATTTTTTACTTTCACTTATGAACGTGAAGTTGGTCGAATGGAGGACTATCACTAAATACATCGCACGATCGAGTCTAGGTCAGCGTACTGAGTTCTAAAAGCTTTAATTGTATCTAGGTATATAAACTATAAAAAAACACGTTAAAACGCAATGCAAACTTGATCGTACAATAAATCGTAAAAAGCGCACTTTTTTTGGATTTTTTTCGTTAAAGCTTCTTAATGCGTTTTAACACGTTAAAGTTTTGAACGCAAAAAAACGTATTAAGAAACTTTAACGAAAAAAATCCAGAAAAAGTACGCTTTTTACGATTTTTTTTTTCGTTCAAATTTCAAACCGTTTTTACGCGTTATTTTTCAGTGTTTGTCTCACTGGGTATCAGCATATAGTTGACCATTTGGTGAAAGTTTTTCATAAATCTATCTTCACTTTCTAATTGGGCCGAAATGCACTTAAAACGTCCCCCATTCTTTCTTCACGACTATTGAGTTTTGATTTCCATATTTGCATTGAATTAGTCTAGTTTTTCGACCTGGGCTGCAACATTGTTGTGCAAGAGAAACTCAATTTTACTAATATTTTATGGCTTCATTCAACAGCGAGAATAAGATAAGAGTAGAGTTTTTTATCATTGTAACGAGCAAAAGGTATGAAACAAAGGGCATATCTTTCTATTTGTTTCGTACCATATGACAGACGAGCGGCAAGTAAGTGCGAAAGATGAGAAGTTTGTTTGCCCGTACGAATGAAGCTGCTAGAAACATCGTTACACAATTCTGAAGTAGTGAAATGCGGACGCTTTTATGAAAAATAGGACCTATCTGCTTAAACCGTAGGCTTTGACAATTCCTGGGTAAGAAAGTTGGCTATGTTGGCTGAATATTTGTCTTACTATATGTGAGAAACGTACGTTGGGCCACGACCTGAGAAAAAAACTATTCTGCGGTCTGAAACTAGCAAGAAAGAGTTTTCTCTTTTTTACATGTAGATTAGCTATGGTCCGAAGATGATAACAGACATTTTATGTAAGCTTAAAAACAAGATTTTCCTGGTCGCCTTCACCTCGTCATTACAGACGTTAATGAATATTTCAGGCCACTAATTCGAGACTATACTATTTAGTACACTGCTTCTTGCGTCTCTTCATCTCAAACGATAGAGGCAAGGGGACGTTATCCATTACAGACACTAGCAACCATCTTATATCATCATCACGTACCTTAGTAACCAGCGGATGCTACCATTATAGACAGCAGCAATGAGCTTATATTACCGTTACAAATATTAACTAGCAAAAACAACAAACATAAAACTTTCTTCAGGTTTTTGCAAAATTGTTCAACTTATAATTTTGAAAAGCAAATAATATTAGTCTCTGTGATTTGATCGAGAATTATAATAATTCTTTTATGCTTAGTTTAAAAATGATAGATATTTACAACTGTCTTCATTGTCAGTTAAATCAATGATGCGAAAAATGAGTGTGAAATTAAGATAAACAAAATGCAAAAATAAAATGTGACCAACTAAAGCAACAATTCATTTATAATTCATGATATCCATTGGGCTTATCGCCCGATGGGGCCAACCGTTGTTCTGACCGATCGTTTTCACTGGGCTTCTATCTTGCTCTAGATGGAATAAGGTCTTGAGGGCTTTGATTGCACCATTCTGTTATGTCGTCTAGTCATTCCCTACACGGGCGCCCTCTTCTGGTTTTTGCTTTCATTTTTGTTAGTACTGTGCGTTTGAGTAGCCTTTTGTCGTCCATTCTGCAGATGTGACCGAGCAGTCTCAGGTTTCTTTTCTTTATCACGTCAACTATGATTTCCTGCACGACAATTCGGCTGCGAATGTTGGTATTTCGCACCATATCTTTCCAGTTGATTTGTAGTGTCCTTCGGTAGCACTTCATCTCAAATACCAGTGATTTCGTTCTGTTGGCCTCTTTCAGCGTCCATGTTTGTGATTGATATAGCAGCATGCTGACGACGCACGTTTTTAGGACTTTTAGTTTGTTTCCCACTTTGAGGCTCTTGCTACTCCACATGTGTTTCAAAGTGGGTAGTGCTCCAATCGCTGTGCCGATTCTTCATGTGATGTCCTCTGAGCAGTTTTTGTTCCATGTTATTAGGCTTCTGAGGTATTCGAAATTTTCAACATTTTCGATAGTTGTACCTGCTACATAATCCTGCGTGTCGATGTTTCTGTCGCCGAATAACATTGCTTTTGCTTTGCTGGCATTTATTATCGGCCACGCTTTCTCAGCTGCTTCTGCTACTCATTCGATTTGTTGGTGTAGTGATTTGCATTATTATTACTTTTATTATTATTTGATATATCCTTACCTTTCAGTGTAGGGTGAAGATCAAAGTTCAATATATAATGTATACGCAGAATGGATACAAAGAAAAAGTAAGAAAAGAAAAGAGAGAAAAGAAAAAAAGTTCACGATTCTCCTGATGTTCTTTGGTAACTGTTATGATTGATCGTCGACGAATATTCGGGACTACAGCTATATCTTTTAAAACTATCTCCAACTCTTGCAGATTTGGTTTCGATAGTTTTCATCATGGTGCACAAGGTAGCTAGTATTAAGCTTTATCACCAAGTAACTGCTTTATGTTCGGATCTTATTTTGCTTGCACCAGGTCCCTGCACACCATCATACATGGTTTGTTATCACTTGAGGTTTGAAATGCTTTTTACACTTTGGACAAATGTAATCGTTGTTTTTTGTACGAGTTAACACTTCATTTACTTTGTGCCAAGGTGTCTGTTTGATATTCGCTTCTGCACGCCGTTCAGCTGTAAGTTGTTTGTAATCTTGAACAACATTGATGATATCAGATGCGAGTGGTTTTACATGTGTATTCTTGTTTATTGTTTTTATCTATGTGTCGCGGTTCAGCGTTTCTTTCCTCCGATTTCGGATTCAGCATCTCGCGGCATCGTCCATGATTTTATCCGTCCACATATTTCGGTTGCCAACACGACGAGGTTGTTTGGATTTTGGATAATACGAGAACATGCTTTTTTTGGCAATTCATGGTTAACCGTCAGCATTTTCCATTTTATTCACATGTTCAAACCATCGTAGTCGATTGCGTCTAAGTAATTCACCGATTTCTGGTTGTTCGGCCAGTTGTAGGAGTTTCTCGTTTGACATTTGATCACCCAAGTTGACACCAATGACGGTGCTCAAACATTTCAGGTACAAAACATTGAGTATTTATTCTTGTGCAATCGTTGCCGGTCATATTTCACTTCCATATAGATGAACTGGAACCACACAAGTACGAAAGATTCGCAGTTTTGCTTCAATTGACACTACGGCTCGACCTGCTCGGTTTACGAACTCCGTTTAAATGAGCTTAAAGAACTGCTCCAACAGTTCTTTTGAAACGAATTGAACCGTTTCAAACAGTTTGCTTCAAATGAGCGGAGCTGTTCAAACAGTTCTTTTCAAATGAATTGAACTCTTTAAACAGGTCTTTCAAACTAACCGAGCTATCCGAACAGCTCTTCTCTAATGAATGGAACTGATTTAACAGTTCTTTTAAACGAACTGAACTTTCTAAACAGTTCTTTTCGAATAAACTGAACTTAAAATTAAAATAGATACTATCCTATCAGGGTACTCATAGATCCGCAAGGGCTATCCTATAGGAGTATCCACTGGTCCTCCAGGACTATCCTATGGAGGCACTGTTGGGTCCCCAAGCCCTACTATAGGGAGTTCCCCTGGATCCTCGGGCTCTACTATAGGCGGTACCCTTTAGGTCTTAAAGTCCAATTATTCACGGGCACCCTTGGGTCGTCAACCCTTACTATTGGGGGTACCCCTAGATCCTGCAGTCCTACTATTCAGGGCAACCATAGGGTCCTCAAGCCCTACTATTGGGAGTACCCTTAGATCGTGCAGTCCTACTACTCAGGGGTACCCTAGGGTGTGGGTGTGGGTGTGGGTCTTGGTTTTCTTTTCATGCACAACTATCCACACCATCACATCGACATCCTCCCCACCCACACCCCACAACCACACGCCAACCACACCCCGCATCCACACCCCGCATCCACACCCACACCCACACACCCGCACACACCCTACCCACCCATACACAACCACAGCCGGACTCCCACACGCAAACCTCACACTCACATCCCCGACACCCACACCCACACCATAAGCTATTCACATTAACATATTCATCGTAAAACCACCTGATGACGCTTGCCAGAGCAGAAAGATACACAACTTGTGGATGGCATCCCTTCTCTCATCCTCAAGATAGCCACCCTACCCTCAAGATAGATTGCACTCGCACCCACACCCATCTACTCATCTCACACCCTTGTGACTGCTGATCGTAACTATTCTTATTCCATTTTTTCTTGTGAAATCTTTTATGCGTGATTCTCGACGCTTAGTCTCTATTGAGCAGTAACAAATAGAGTGATGTTGTATTCGAAATGCAAAAAGTAGTCGTCAAGATAAAAAGGTTTCAACCTGTGTCTTGTATTTCGAGGTGTCTTCGCCCTCTTATGATAAAATAGACAGAGAATGGAGGAAAAGAATCGATCGTTGACCCTCGCTATTTTATCTTTGCCCGTGTTTGCTTCTGTTTCGTTTCGTATTCGTGCTGAAAACTGCGGTCGAATATAATATCTTAACAGTGTTGGGCTCTCATCGTCGTCTCTTATCTGTTGTTAACCAGCAAAGATCGGCTTCATTTGTGTCCACTCTTCTTTGTGTTCTAATCTTAAACTGTGCAAATACAGTTAGCTGCTCTATTATATGAGAAAAAAAGACAGAAGCAAAACTAGAAATTCCAACACACTTTGAAATGCTTATTTCTCTGGTGGTTGTTGTCCTGCGGTGTGGGTGTGGTTGTGTGGATGTGGGTGGGGTGTGGTGTGGGTGGGTGTGGGTATGGGTGGGTGTGGGTGTGGGTGTGGGTGGGTGTGGGTGTGGGTGTGGGTGGGTGTGAGATGTTGGATGTGGGTGTGAATGGGCTAATATCTAATCTTCAAAACAACACTCACGCACCTGCCCCACACTCACTCACCCACACCCACACCCTTTTGGTCTGATAAGTTCTAACCACTCATCAACAAAAGCTGGAGATTATTTAGGAAACAATCCTTGATAGGAAATACCTCCCCATAGCATGACACTTTCCTAAAACTTTTCTTTTGGTTTTGTTCTCAATTCGTATGGAATATCAGATTTGGATTCGGCATAAATACCCTCGTTGTGTTGATTGGTGTGAGGACTTAACGTAAATATAGCACTAAAGTCTGTATTGAAACGATAAGCCGAATCGTAAAGCTTGTTTCCTTTCTTAAAACCATATTTTTTTCGTAATCGTTTTGCAATGATAACACGTTGAAGTTTTTGATCGGTTGTTAATTTTTGTACTATTTCTCTTTTCCACCATTTTAATTTTAATGATTGTTTAGTTCGCCAAATTGAACTTTTCGATGTTTTAAAACCTTTTTGTTGAAGTTTTGTATTAACATTTCTGATGGATGCGTTTTTGGTTATTCGAAGATTATTTTTTACAGCTCGAATATATTCAGGTGTTGTTGTTGTACGTGGTGCACCCGATCTTGGCAAATCATTCACCTGATTTCTATTTAGAATTCCCCAAACTTTGACGTTCAAAGCACTTTTCATTGTATAAGACGGCGGATTTTCGGATTGAATAAGAAAATTTGTAATATCTTTAGATTTCAATGATGGATGTATTTGTTTTAAATGTAATACAAATGAACGAAATTCTTTTTTATCTGTCGCTGATTGTTCACGCGACATTCTGTATTGATTCAGTTGTAACGGACTAATGTTGTTCCTTATATACTTCGTTCATCGACATGTGCAGAAGCAAAAATATATCGATAAAAGAAAGATTTTCTACTCTGGCACATGTTAGTTACAACACCCTGGAAATAACAACTTTGCTGTCATTTTCATATCAACTTTAGCTGTCGGAAAATTTTGAAAAAAAATAAATCGAAGTGTTTTTTGCAGTTTCTCATCAATAGGCGTAGATATAGACTTGAAACTTTGTGGTTATGTAGCATTAGGTATGCTCAACAATCTATCAAAGTTTCAAAAAGATTTGCTTTTAATAAATGCGAAAATGATAAATTTTAAAAATCATTTTAGAACATCTGGGACACCTCTTAGAATGAAATAACTTCACTAAGTTGTGTTGCTTGAAAAAAACGATCGAAATTGAAGTAGTCGAATACAACAGTATATAAATCGATGAATATTAGGAGCTACTATTTACACAGAAAAAGTTGTATTGTTATCTTGTTTTGTCGTCGCAATAAATAATATGAGCATTAATAGTGTGATTTTTCTTGTAATGAGATGCTATGATGACATAAAATGCACAACATGGAAAGGCAAGGTTAAGAGAAAAGATTATATTTTGCAATTTATTAGAAGATTGTGGGATTTGCCCATTCTTTTGGTATGGTGAAAAAAGGCAGAAAGGAAAAATGCCGAATGATGAAATGTCGAAGGAAAAATATAGAAAGAAAAAATACAGAAAAGAAAAATGCAGAAAAGAAAAACAGCGAAGAGAAAAAGAACGAAAAAGAAAATGTCGAAAGAAAAATATCGAATAGAAATAATCTCGAAGAGCAAAATGTCGAAAATAAATTACGAGAAAAAAATCATTTATGCGAGCATATTGACCAATCATAAAAAATTTCATTGAATGAAAAAGTACAACAAGAAGATCATGAACAGTATTATTGACATTAGAAATAAAATAACGGAATGAATGAGCAAAAAGAATGTAAATAATCAGCTATCTTATCTAAAGAAATACCTAACACATTTTCTAAACTAAATACAGATGATTTTGTGCAGACTCATTTCTCTTTGAGAAGGTAAAATAGCAGCTATTATGGGTGTCGAAACCATTTTCGCTGATTCTTCTTCATTGATTTTTGGTATAGGAGTATTTCATATATAACATGTTCTTTCATGAGTTGTCCGAAAATGCAAACCCTTTTTATGGTTTAACTACATGACAACGACTACCTTCAGCTTTTAAAAGAACATCATCTATATAAGCATGTGCTGTTGCATCCTACTTTCAGTACTCACATCGATATTAGTTTTCGGTAGCGATGGGTTTGTTTAACCTAAATACGTAATTATCAATGATAAACATTGAAGTATCTTTTGCGATAGAATAAAGGACTATTGCTTGCAAGAAAAAGTCATGTTGGATACAGACAAACATATAATGAAAATAACTATCCTAATGGTAACGCCGGTCATAAACAAAGCAAAATAAAATAAACTGTAATACAATCGTTCGTTAGTCAAATGAGTCACATCTTTCATTTCGTTTGTTGATGATGAGCCTAAATTTAGAAACGAATCTTAGAAACAATAACATATAGATATCATCATGAAGCGAATTGCGAATAATGGAGTGAAAAGCATTTTATTTCATGTGTACAGGGTGTTCCAAAAGTCCGGACGGAAAGTTAATTTAAATATCTCTTATACAACTCAAGCGATTTAATTGATTTTTTTATAATATGCTAGTATGTCCTTTAAAGTTTTATTTCACATAATTCAATTTATAACAAATGTTCAAAATGGTTACGCCCAACTGAAATACATAAATCTATCGTTTTCGAAATCTTTAAAAAAATATTGTAGAAAATTTATTTTCGAATTAATTTCTTTTCTGTATCGGTCCTTATTTTGAATATAACCAAATCTTTATATATATCTTATACACATAGGTGTTCACTTTATATTTATCGATAAGCCATTTAAATAAAAAGAGTCTTTGTCTGAAAAAAAAGAGCTCTCCTGATTGTGGATATTTTGTAACGTGTGGATCAAAGTGATATAATTTCAACACGATCTTGCGAATATTCTTCATGAAGTTGTACGACAAATTACATCCTGTATGGGTTCATTAGTTGATATTCAGTGATAATTCGACCTGCTATTGTTCATAGAATGAAGCAGGCTATTGCAACAACCCGAACACTCTATAGTGCAGAGATGGGCAACTCCGGCTATGTGCAACTCCAACTCCGACCAGCTCTACTCCATTTTTCTAAATCCGCACTCCAACTATAACTCCAACTCCGAATAGTGCCGCTCCAACTCCACACAACTCCGCTCCATTTTTCTAAAAACCCACTCCAACTCCAAATCCGACTCCTCGGCTATTTTCGCCACTCCACTCCAACTCCACCTATAAATTAATAAAGTCAACTCCAACTCCACTCCAACTCTACTTCGAGTGAACTTAACTCCGCTCCAACTCTACTTATAGATTAATAAATTTAACTCCAACTCCACTCCGAGTGAACTTAACTCCACTCCAACTCCACCTATAAATTAATAAAATCAACTCCAACTCCACTCCAACTCTAGTGAAAAAAAGTGGCAACTCCGGAGTTAACTCCAACTCCGAGTTGGAGTTGCCCANGCTACAGACGCATACTTCGGATCAGCTGGCACGACATGATAAGAAACACCGACGTAAGAAACCGGATAACCAGACAGGAAACGATCATTGACAACATCAAAAAAAGAAAGCTACGTTTGTTCGGTCACATCTGTCGAATGGACGATGATAGACTGATAAAACATATCATGTTTTCAAGACTCAATGGTAAATCGAAAAGGGGACGTCCATGTAGAGAATGGTTGGACGACATCATAGAATGAAGTGGACGCAGTGGACAGGACCTGTTCTACCTGGCACAAGATCGGAGACAATGGAAAAACATTATCCGATCAGTGGTTGGCCCCAACGGGTGATAAACCCATGGGACATAGTGAATAGTGAATATACAGGGAAGTCAAAGAGGAAACTTATATCTATTTTTCTGAATCAGCACAAAAAGTTGAGTCGAATGGTGTGACTTTCAAAGAAAAATAATTTTTAATAAAATCTGACCCGTACTCCCCCTCAGCTCTTTTTCTCAATAAATCGTCCATACCGTACTCAGGCAAAAATTTTTATAAATTTTTTCTTCTTCTAAATCATGATGAAACTAGATAACTCGATGAGAGGAATTCTTTTTTTGATGTTGTAGCGAAGTTAGATAAAAAAATTACACAGACTGGTATAATTAGGAAAATAATTAACATTGATCGGCAGAATTAGGAACAAAAAAAAGACTTTTCTACAACTTTTTTTTTAACCGAGAAAAAATTGTGGTAAACAAAATTAATCTATATTAAAAAATATACGACTCAATGCACCGTCATCGCACCAATCAAATGATGTGTGTTCCGTCTTAATTAGACTTCATTTTCATAGTGAAATTTAACTTCTACAAAATTTTAGTGCAATTTTACGTGTAAACGGCAGAATTAGGCAAAAAAAATACATTGACCGGCAAACTTAAATCCAGTGCAGAATAAGATAACATTTTACTCCTTTGCTATTTTCACTGTTATTGCGTCATAACGGCTAAACATTTTTCAATCAGTTACACATCAATCGATAGAGAAATGTTTGCTCTACGCCGGAAAAAAAAGTCAGCTCTCTATGTCACTCCGAAGTCGAGTTATTAAAGGTTTTCTGAAGGTAATTTTTTTCCGGCAGAATTAGGTCCATTGACTCTAGTATCTCATATAGTAGTGATTGAGAAGATAAGGCGCGGTGTTGAATGTGGGGTGCGGATATGAGGTGGGCTTGGAGTATGTTTTTTCTTGTCATCAGTATATTGAGTATGCACACCCACACCCAGCAGTATCATCATCGATCGAATCGGTCTCACTGAATGCGTCATCAGTCGATCGGTCACTGCCATTTTCATCATCCATACTCTCTTCAGCCTCTTCATTTTCGTCATTCATACACTGTTCATCTTCGTCTCTGCCGTGTCGAGTAGCTTTACCTGTGGTTTGCTGGTTATTGTCAGTCGTTACCAGAAAATTGCAAAATTCTGGTAGAGCTATCCACTTATTATAACGGGTGCGCCAGAATAAATGGCGGTCTTAGTATTTTGACTATATTTTTTTTCTTTTTGATCTTTAGAACTGGTTGTTTTATCCAAAAATGGGCCGTAAAATTCTCTACAGAACCATAACTATAGTTATTTTTGTAGAAAATTGAGAAAAAAGCTAAATGAATATTATTCAAAACATAAAAAGTGCCCAATTTTCAAAGCTAGCGAGTGTCTCACGCATGCTTGGTATTTGTGTACACTTTTTAATTATCAAGTAGGTGTATTTTAAAAACAAAGTACACCATAAGATGCTGCATGAAAAGCTCTACAAGCTATTTTAAAAACTTTATTTTATAAATGCACTTTTTATTTTCTAAATGATCAAAGTTCTGTGCGACCAGTTTTCGACTGTGAGAAAAAGACCATTTTTGGTCGCACTGAATTTTGCATATTTTAAAAACAAAAGGTGCATGTGTGTAAATGTAAAGTGACTTGTTCTTTGTAAGTTGTAGAGCTTTTCACGCTGCATCTTGTGGTATGCTTCGTTTTCTTTTAATAGAATATATTAGCTGATAAAAAGTTCAAATAAGAAAAACGAATTCGTAGTGTTCCAAAAAAAGGATCCTGTTCGCAGAGTCGAAAACTGGTAGCACAGAATTTTGATCATTTTGAAAACGAAAAGTGTATAAATAAAATAAGGTTTTTAATGTAAGTTGTAGAGCTTTTCACGCTACATCGTATAGTATACTTTGCTAATTACATATGTCTACTAGAGGAGCATAAAAAAACGAGATACGAACATTAGCCATTCGTAGAACACCCATTAGCTTTGAAAAGTGGGCACTTTTCATGTTCTGAATAATAATCATTTAGCTTTTTTCTTTAACTTTCTACAAAAATAACTTTAGTTATGGTTCCTTAAAGAATTTCACGGCGCATCTTCGGATAAAACAACCAGCTCTAAAGATCAAAAAGAAAAAAAGTTATAGTCAAAATACTGAGACCGCCATTTATTCTGGCGCACCCGTTACATCGCATGACACGTAGTACAAATATAGCAATCAGTCGGCAGAGAAGTTAGAAACAAACGAGTAGCAATAAAAAGCTGAATACACTTTCCCTTCATAGGGCGTCGACTGCTCGCATTCAGGTGATTGCCATAACACGCGCAGACACCAAACTTCTTCGAATCAATTTTTTATGAAATGAAACAATAGTTAACGTGGCGTACACGTCTTATTTTCTCTGTTTTCCTCCTGTCTATCTCTAAAACAAACTCTGGAAATCTCTCTGCGTATTCAATATCTTTTTAAATTTATTTGAATCTGTCTCTCGCTTTCTAATGTCTTCTATTCAAATATCTTTCGATGTGAAATATGCTGCCTCCGAATCATTCTCTCTCTGTCCTTTATAAACTCTCGAAATCTCTTCTTCTGAAATCTCTACATTTCATCCTACTTTCCCTCTCTCAGATATCCTCTCTTCCTATACATTCTTCTCAAAGATTTTCTTTTCCATTGAATTTGAACTTATACAACAACCATAGCCTTGTTCTACAACTTTAATCTATGCTTTCAACTTACTCGAGAAACAATCACAAATAATGTAACATATATATTAAACCCGATAGCACCATTAAAATCTAGCACTTCCCTTCATTTACAATACCTTGTTTCTCCTAGAAAATAACCATTTACTGAGCTTGAATATGCAATCAATATCTCTATTCATGTAGCTGATCATGAAAATAATGGATGCAATTACATTAAAATGCAGCTCAAATGATGCATTACAATGCATTGTTTGGGTTGCATTGTAATGTAATTGCATTCATTATTACTCTGATCGACTACATGGGCATCACGATCATTTTCGATAAAATCCGGGACATCCGGATCATTACGGAAGCACAACCAGATTTCGTCCACACATTTGAAAACTTACTTCCTGGCTTCACACGCTACATTTTAAGCTCTCCATAGATTATCTTTGCGTGAGGAAATGATGGTGGTTCTATGATGAGTAATCGAGATCCACGAACCACAATTTGCCACCCAAAGGTTTTCTCATAAACTTTTGACAATGTTGTCCTTGAAAATTTTCGAACACAGCATATTTCACATAATGTTTTATTTTCATTTTATAGATCTTAAAAATCTCTATCTGCCCAGAAAAAATGAAGCGTTTGTAGTCGATTATGGTTGTGGTCAGATGAATAACACTTTACTCGTTCCAGCAGAAATCTAGTGTCGCAATACGTCCATGGAGGCTCTTTGCATGCACTTCTAAATCCTGTAAAAATGGTCTAAATGTGTTGGCAGTAGTTGATTCTTGTAACAGGAAGCGTGAAATTGGAAACCAAGATGTTTTTTGTGGATATTTTTTATTTAGGGCCGTTTTGTGTACAAAGGGTCCCTCGTCCTTTTGCTGCTATTATAATGCCTACTTTCAAATATGCATCTGCAAATACAAAAGTTCTACCTTCAAATATTATGGATCTTCGGGATGAAGCAATTTACGGTTTTATTCGACAATTTTCTGGAAAAAAGGTAGCAAAACTACTTGTATTTCAAGAACACAATGGAGTTGACTCATTTCTTGAATGCGAAGATGCTACTGCTGCACTTCAATTGAAATCTGATCAGCTAGATAAATTGATGAAAAACACGTGCATTACATTAAGTGATGGATCTGTTGTTGTTCTTTCAGGTATCGAATCATCAATCATTAATCTTTAAAAAATATCTTTAAAAAGAAACGAGAAGATTTCAACAAGCAAGTTGAACGACTTCAATCGATTAATTTTTCAACCTGGTCAACTTCAAGCACGGAATTCGATCATTTCACCACCAATAGCTCAGAGATGCGAAAATACGGATACAACTTGTATTCCCTGAAACAACGAACTACTTGCACAAAAATGTAACCGTTCCCCCCCTCCCCCTCACCCTGTATCGAGTTGTATCGCCCTGCATCGGCATGTATCGGGTCCATGTATTCGTATAATACAATGTATATCCCCCGAAAACCTAGAATTCTAGAATTCATGTATCGGTATAGTACCATGCATAATCCTCGAAAACCTAGAATTCTAGAATTGTACCCAGTCAGACAAGCCTCTTGAAAAAACGCGTTAAAATTTCGTTAAAACGGCGTTTTAACGCTAACCTATCATAAATACGCCATTTTTACGAGTTTTAAACGCGTTTTAATGCGTTACAACATTCAAGCGTTAAAATATGTAGATTTTTTTCGTTTTTATGCATTAATAACTAGAAATTTACGCGTTTTTATGCGTAGTTTTTTTAAACGGGTTTTATTATGTGCAACAGTTACTAGTTATTTCTGTTTTTTTCTGAGACAAGTAAAGTTCTTTAAACAACTTAACTCGATCCTTGAGAATATTATAAAGTCAGAATCTTTTGTAAGATAATTTATGCTTATTTAAACCCATCAGATATGATTTCAGATTTTTTATGCGAGTTAAAAGTGATTGTTTTGAAGACTCATAAAAAAGTACGAAGAATACTTCTGAAACAGATCAGAATTATTTGGCTCTTATGCAGCTGTCAGAATCCCTAGGTTTTCATCATACATTGCATCCCTTATTTGCAAATTCCTTTGCATGAAAGTGAAATTTGATGTTATTATATGTGCGATGTCACCTAGTCACACAAGCACCTTAAAGGAACGTGTTAAAAAACCTTCAAATTTCGTTAAAACGCCGTTTTAACGATAACGTACCGTAGAAACGTCATTTTTACGATTTCTTAAGCGCGTTACGTCATTTAATGGTTAAAATATGTAAAATTTTAAAAAGTTTTAAGCGTTTTTATCCGTTAACAACTCGAATTTTATGACTTTTTTTGCATGCCTAGCTTAACACATTTTCTTATGTGTGAGATTTACAATAGTTATTTCTGCTCTTTAGAGAATGCAGCTCCTTTAAATACATAAGTAATAGTAGAAATAGCAGTTCATGCACTATCGAAGAGGTTTTTCCGTGTCTTGTTTTTTTTGTTCATTGTTCTTTCTGTATTATTCAAGAGAATCTTCATCAGTAGAATGTATATGAATATACATCTCTTCAATCCAATATATAGTTTTATGACCATATGTGCATATAAACATTCAAAAAAAATTTATGAATCATTTATTAAAAATATATGAAATGTATGTACGATATAGACTCAGCGAGGTATTTAGAGGGGGGGGGAGGCACCAATCCCCTCCTAAAATGTTTAGATACCTAAAGGATGGTACGGGTTTATTATTTTTCACAAGTTAAAATTATCTTTTTTCCACAGTGGTCCCCTTAAAAAAATTTCTCGATACATCGCTGTATAGACTTCTAAAAAAATTATAGAAAAGTATATTCAAACACTTTTGAAAAAATTGAACGAAAAATATTCTTATAGTTTTCAAGTTATTTTGAAAAAGCGATATTTCTACAAACAATTGTGTTTTCTTTTTTAATTCAAATATTCTAAAACATCTTCATAAATATATTGTAAATACAAATACATAGAATTTTGAAAAGTGTGCTTGAAAACTAACAAAAAACTTTTTGAAATATTTTAAAAGAATATTTTAAAAAGCTTTTGAGAAACTCAAACAAAAAGAACAAAATGTTTTTCACATTATTTTGAGAAACTATGTCTAAAAAGAATTTTTCGTTGTATCAAAATATACTAAAAAATCTTTATAAATATATATATATAAAATGGTACATATAATTTTAGGAAATCTGCTTGAATACTGTACCACTAAAGTTCTTAAAAATTTTTTAAAAATATATTAAAAAAATTCGAAAAATTTCAGAAAAAAAAATTTTCATTGTTTTCGCAAATTATTGTTAAAAATTTATAGTACTTTAAAGACTTCTTTTTTCATTTATTAAAATATTTTTAAACAAAATTCTGTATTTCCAAAGAAATCATTTTTTTAAAGCATATTATTATTTTGTCCATGAGAACTGAAAAGATAATAATTTTTTGAATCTTAATCGTCTCCCAACCATTTTTCTAAAGTTTCCTTCGATTTAAATAGTATTATTGATTTTAACTGGTCAGCGTGAAAATGGTCGAATGGATAACATCTTGGACTATTACCAAATACATCATCGGATCGAGTCTACGTCAAGGCACTAAGTTCGGAAAGCTTTAATTATATCTCGGCATGTGAAATACAAAGAAACATGCTAAAACGCATTGTAAACATGAACGGAAAGCAAATCGTAATAAGCACAAATTTTTTTAATTTTTTTCTTTACAACTTATTAACGCGTTTTTTTGTGTTCAAAACTTTGACGCGTAAAAACAGTGAAATTTTAACGAAAATAAAATCCAAAAAATGTGCGCTTTTTACGATTTTTTTTTCGTTAAAATTCCAAATCGTTTTTACGCGTTATTTTTTAGTGTTTGTCTGACTGGGTAGTTCTATGTAACGGACAGGTGTAGGATATTTTAGATAACCTATGTTTTAAAGTTTGACTGTGTGTTAATCGTTTGAATTGCGAATAGTAAGTCCCATGTGAAAGCAGTACGCGGGAAAGTGAGAAAGTTTTTGTGTGTAGATTGTAATTGTTTTAACGGTTTTTTTTTATGTCATAGTTTACAGGATGTCCTATATTATTTCGGTGTGGGTGACCACTATCGTTGCGAGTGGCACGTGGACTACAATAAAAGATCGAAAATGAAAGATTTTAAGAAATAGATGATAGGATGTTCTTCTGATGATGAAAACAATTGGATACATGGCAGTTTTTTTTTGCGTAAAATGTCCAAAATTAGTTTGTATGGATTTTGTTGGAGTAATTGGTTGGTTGCACATTCTATAGTTGTATGCTAATCAGGAATAAAGAAAAACCGTTGAGTTAAATAAGAAGGGAATGGTTTTATTTAATATAGAAATGAAAGCAGTATTGGAACTAGTGTAGTATGTGTTGATCTATTTATGCTATGAGAACATAAAAGTTTTACAGTGAAACACATAAGTGAGAGGAAGAAGTGATGAGTAGTAACACGATGACAATAAGAGTGGGAAATGTTTTTCATTTCTGTATTGAGTATAGGATAACAGTAATAAAAGGGGTCGAGTTCTTTTCAATTGTCATTATTTTGTTGTTGGTTCTCTGACTTGTGAAAATATTCGTCTGGATCTATATTTAAGAGAAAAAATACAGAAAATGTGAATTTAAGTTTTCGCAATGCTGTTTAATGACTAGTGACCCATTCGATAAATTATAGCTCGTTGTTGCCAAAATGTAGCTTCGCATTGATCTTCGTATGTCGTTGGATCGTGTGCTAATGCTCCTTCTTCTGGACCTGGATTCAAGAGCACAATGGCTGACTGTGTACAGTATATCTCTCATACTACACCAGTTTCATCGGTTACCTACATTATTTTTGAAACAAATTATATTCAAATAGAATGGAAAAAAAGACGAATAATGAAATCGATATGTGTTACATACATTAAAAAGCCCATCTTGTGTCAATAGTTTTTTTTTTATTTGGATATCCTTTTTCTTCAAATTGATCTCAACCAATATTGTCGAAAATTGAATAAGATGCAAATTTTTTCCAGATATCTAATCGCCATGGTCCATTAAAATAATTATAATAACCAGATAACGATTTGGCAAACGATGTTTTTCCAGTACCCGGTGGTCCAATCAAAATAAACATTTAGCCCATGACGGACAATTGAATTCTTCTTTGCTCAATTGATTTACTACTGCGCCAGATTTTATTATTGAATAGAACAAGAGAAGAAGTAGAGTTTAAATGTGTGTGAAAGAGTATTTTGTTATTTATGAGATTCTCTTTTGCTCGTTATACATACGTAATGCTGGCGTACAATGTGGAAATGATTCAGGCCATGAATGTTCTTTAAAAATGAGATTATCCAGTCGATTCATTTTTGCTTCTTGTTCTCGTAGATAGATATGTTTCAATGCGTTCAAATAACTAGAAATGAGAAAATGATAGAAAAGAGATGACATAAAATATTTGAATTAAACGAACTTTTCCTGATTTCGTAAGAAGGCGGATGGTATTGCATTTCGCATTAAATCCATTGCTGCATTAACATTTGTTCGTGCTATTTCCGCTGCTCGCACAGGGTGTGAGCCACACCCACACCCCACAGCTCCACACCCCACACACCCACACTCACACCCACACCCACACCCACCCATACTCAAAAATAAAAAGCAAAAGAATAAATCTGATGTTCTATTGAGAAGATTTGATTCTTGTCCGTTTATGCTCAACAAAAACTGGAATACAAAAAAAAACAGTTATTTTATTGTTCAGCATTTTACATGTGATTAAAACTGCAACCAACAACCACTGCAATTATTGTAAGTGCAGTCCAGAGAAAGTAATGTGCTGCAACACATAAATTATATGAAGATCCCATCGATGTATGATTCGCAAGTGATGCTGGCGCTGAGCTTGGAAAAGTATATAAATTTTCATCTCGTGAATAAACTCCCCATGTTGCATATGCTGCCATAACGAACATAGATGAAAAGTAAAAAAGAAAAAGTGACACTACTAGAATTACTTGATTTTCCAGACACCCACCAATTATGGCCAAAATTATAGAGATACCAAGCAGTAGAATGCCAAAAACAGACAGACCCGCTGTTGGAGCCCGATTTTCATCATAACAACCTGAGCCATTAGGTGCGATCGTAGTTGAAATACCGGCTCCATAACATTTACGGAAAAGACCAACTGTGTTTCCTGATCCACCATCAAGCCATACAGGTGTACCTACACTAATAATAAGCAGTAATAGAGCGAATGAACCAATGTCGCCAGCAGCGTAAACTCCAATTTTATAACGTTTTACCATTGAAATCTAATAATAAGTATTAGTTTTTTTGAAATTAATCGTAATGATTACAAGTCTAGAATAAAAAATAATTTATTGAAGTAAGCATGAAGATTCCATGTTGTTGTTACGCGTATTTTTTTAAATATTATGACCATAGTTTTATTTTTTTAATTGATGACAAAATAATCTGCAATACAAATTGTGTTTCTCAGGCATGCAATTCTCTCTGACACTGATGTTAGCAAAACCTAACTTATGCTCTTTTTCTTCAAATTTTTTTATGAAATCACCGAAGTAAATGCATAATAATTATGATGATGCTGTCAGTGGTCAATAATAGGAAACACTTTCACAATTTTTACTCAGAACCAAACACAAGGGTGTGAATATGTGCATTTGAACGAAAAGACCCGAATCTGAAACCCACATATACCTAGGGTAAATCTTCAATGTTTTTCTGTCGAATAAAATGAGTAGAGTTTAGGGATTTGCTTTTCTTTTCTGTGCAAGTGACCACATTCTAAGAGAATGATGTAACCAAGTATTTTCAAGATCATGACAGGATTTCGAATAGGATTCAATCAGTATCCTGAATTTATCTCCATCACTGTTCAACCATGAATTTGTCAAGATATGCTTGTGAATGTGGAAATGAATGTGTAAATGTGATTGTGGATGCAATAGGCGTAAAAAGATTTTTTCGCTCATATAGATTTCTACATAAATATGTTGACTCTGATGATGTTAACAGACAAATATCAGAATTACGAAGAAGCAATGCGAACAAATTGATAGTATCTAAAGTTTCATTATATCTTTTGCAACTGAACCTAATAGAAGTAGTGCGATATTAATCCCATTTCTATCTCGTTTCTGTCATTATCTTTATCGCTAGTTCTTTTATTCCTAGCGATTTAGAAATTATCTGTAAAGGATGATAACAGGACTAGAAAATCCCAGAAAAGATGAACCAGTGAAGAAACAGCTCATATAAAAAAAGCTATTAAGGTAATCCCTGTGGAAATAAAATATGAAACACGACCAAATTGTTATTTCTAAATGTATCAAAATAATTCTTTTTGACATACTTTGCGGTATATTTGTTCGCAATCATTTACCTTATCCTCTTGACGTACCATAAAAAACCAGTTCATATTTTCTAACGAGATTTTATTAGTATATGTTCTTCGATCGTAGATCAACAACGTGTACCACGTTCCATGATCATCTCGAGACAGTCTTTGTCACAATCTGAAAATAGTTTCTGAAACCTCCTGTCTTGATATATAGATGGGTATGGGCTCTCTCTCTGCCACAATCTATACGTGTATGTAGAGGGGGCCAAAGTATCTGCTTTTAAAAGCTTCAAAACTCCTGTTAGATCGTGTTTCACAATATGAAAGAAAATAAGATAGAGAAAAAAGAAAGAATCGAATTGATATTTAATAGAAAA